TCAAACGCCCCATGCGTGTGCTCCGACCAACAACACTCCAATGATGTGTCAGTCCGCGTAGAACTTCGTTGTTTTTTATTGATACGATATATAAGGAGATGTTGGCGCACCATTAGGGCGTTGGCTACTCCTTAGCCGTTGAGTGGAACTTGGAACACGTATCTTGAAGTAAAACATACGAAGCAGTGCATTGAAAATAGAACACTCGGGCACAGATATGCAAGGACACACTTTTACGCACATATCACAAACAAACGGAAAGAAAATGTTCGAAAGTCAAAGAATTAAGTCTCTGATAATGTCCCTCGTTAATATTCGGTCCACCCAGCACGAAACGGCAGAACACACGTCTGGTCCTTATGAAGATGCATTCGCTCGTGTGTACATAATAGTCCACACGTCATTCACTTCGCAACACACACGTGATGGGTGTAAACTTCGATGTAAACGTGTCGTGTGAAAGTTCTATTTCATAATAATATTTGAGGTGTTACGTGCCTATATTAATTTTTAATACCTAGGTTTTTGACGTCCCAAGGCCACGATATGATTATGAGACACCATATGGTATAGATAGCTTCGAAAAGTTCGACCACCTGGGATTTTTTTGGCGTGCACTTACATTACACAGTATGCCGATCTCTATTTCTCTCACTCAGAAATGCGACGGCCGATGTCGAACCCGTGACCAAAGATCTTGTCGCGGCAGACGACGTTCTATCTCAATGCGAACTCGTGCAAGTGAATTGTATACATCACCGTGTTATTTTCTTTGTTTCACTATGCTGCATGTCTCACTTCACTTCTTCATTTTTGTTTTCGGTTAACCACTTTCTTTTTTTCTTTTTTTGCTGCAGAAATTAAAGAAATGTAGCAGCCGAGAAGAAATAAGCCGCAACCTTTTCGCGGCAAGCGCTTTAGATCAGGTCAGAAGAGGCTCCAATTCATGTCTGTATTACGCTAACTATGGAAATGGTTTTTGCTGCTTCAGAGGAGTCTTTAGATGAATACGAAGATATTTGCTTTAGACGAAGATATTTGGCGAAAACTTTGTTAGCTTATGTGGAAAACAGTTTGTTTGTGACCCAGCCAGTGATCGACTATATAATGCGTGATAGCATCCCAGTAATGACAAAATTCGCAGGGATATAATATTAGATTGGGTCGCTCAAGATGGAGCCATTTGGAGATCGCTGGGAGACGCCTTAGTCGTGGAGTGGATGTAAAAAAATATAGGCTGAAAATTATCGTGAAGACTCGTTGGCAAAGAATGCTCTTATATTGGAGGCATTGATGCATTCTAACAATATACCAGGTTGGGCATGTTGGTGGTCATTCATTCTCCGAAGAAAGAAAGATGGTGCACCCTTACACACGCACTTACACACGCACGCACGCAAACAAGAAAGTCATGCAGCACTGCCTCACAACCGAAAGCTTCTTGAAAATAACACGAACTTATATATAAGCACAAACTGCGCATGGCATAAAGGTCAAGTTAAGAAAAAAAAAATTCAAGTCATACGTTCATCCATCACTACGACATCACTGAGGATAGGCTATAGCACAAGAATCGCTGGACGTGCGTGAAGTGCTTCAAAAGCTTCTCGTGTGAACTGCTGTAACACGCCATGATGGTTGAGTGGTCCTCTGCTGAGCCCAATGCACGGTGTAAGAATAAGTCATTCTGACACCGTGCCCAAAGGTCACGGGATTGAATTTTCGACACGGCGGCCGCATTTTCGATGGAGGCGAAAATGGTTTAGGCCGTGTACTTGGATTTAGGAGGCACGTTTAAAGAACCGTCAGGTGGTCGAAATTTCCGGAGCCCTCACTACGATGTCACTCACGAGCATATGGTGACTTTGGGAATTTTAAAGTCCGATTATTATTATTATTATTATTATTATTATTATTATTATTATTATTATTATTATTATTATTATTATTATTATTATTATTATTATTATTATTATTATTATTCATACAATATTAGCAGACCTGAGCGTCTGTTTTTGCCGTCTACTTTTTTTTTTTGTGCGCTTTTTCCAGACAATGAGTACTGACACTGCCTCAGCCATTCGTCACTTCCTCAACAAAGAAACGGGTCTTGGTTTCGTACACCTCAATTTTCTATCACTGTCTGCCCCCTAATTTGCAAAAATAAAAAAAAAGAGGGGGGGGGGGGGGAAGGGGGTATTTCGACGACACCTGAATCAGCGTGGTCCCGTGGTCCCGGGTGAGCAGCGCGCACAATATATAGGGTTACCGTATGGCTCTCTCGTGAAAGGTAGCGCCAGCGCGCACAGCGGCCCAGCCGGGGTGATAATCGCCTCTCGCCATTGGAGCGGTCGACCGAGCATGTCGGCGGTGGAGAAACCGCAACCGACTCGACTCTATACATAGACCGGCGTACACGCCCCCGACATGCGCACACTCCGCCGCTCGCGACGGAGAACCGCCGTGTTCGAAGCCGCATCAAGGTGGCGACACAGGCAGCGGCGAAGGTATGCTGCGTTCCCGGTTTCGATCACGCTTGACCGTCTTGCCGTAGACGCTGGCGCGTTCCGTATCGACTTGTCCACTCGGATATCGTGCGATATTTTCGCACTACTGCGTCACGCAGTGCTCTTATTCAAAGGCGGCTGCATGGTTCCCCATTACTATTGACACGGATGAAAGTTCTATCGCTGTGTCTTTGGTGGCGGCGTTACAGCCGTTTTAGTGGCGAAGCTCCTTATAGCGGCACCTGTTCGTCCCTCGTAGTCGTAGTAGTGGTCGTAGTGTGTAACCAGTCTTACATTTTGACCTCCGAGGTGGTGCCGGTGAGAGATTTCTTCTGCGCGTTGTTGAACGATAAAAAAATGGCAGCGTGCACAATAACTAAAAGCCGAATTCTCCTGTCTCTCATTCCCCTTAGCAGTCATTGGCATGTACATTGAGCACCATCTGACAAGAAAGGGTTGCTACGTTATACTCGCTGAGCATAACCTCCTAGGTTTTAGAAAGGTTTAGCGAGCGTTGGGCCGCAGTGCCATGAATACAGTGAACTCGAGGTGGTTAAAGGTGGGAAGTAGACACGAAGCGCGAGCTGTAAGAAAGTGTGCGTGTGCCGCCTCTTGTTTAGTCCTTGGAATGTCCGCTGGATGGCGGTGCTTCTATGTGCGGAACATATGATGAAAAGATGCGAGATGGTGGTACTTGGAGTGTTGACTAGATGGACGAATGAACACACAAACAGATGCACGGACGGATGGACGCAGGGACAGACGCACGGATGGACGTGCGGACGCACGAACAGACGCACGCATGGACAGCCGGATGGACGCACGGACGGTCACACAGACGGACGCATGGACGGACGGAAGCAAGAACGAATGGACGGACGGATGCTTCGCCCCACTCTCCATATTCCCTAAACAGAAGCCACCACAAGCGCACTGTCATAAAAGCGCGCAGGGATTGCTTATGGACGGCCGTAAAGCTAGTGTGCAGCTGTTATAGCTCTGCGTAGCTCTGTATTCACCACCAACTCGACTTACAGACTGTTGCGAGTGGGAAAACAAGCGGCATCGCATGAAACGAAACGAACGCAGGCAACTAACTGCGAGAGCGATCGTTCGCGAGGCTTCCCGCTGGCCTCCGAGAGCCGCGAGACCGCGTCTGCGCGAGCAGCGGTTCCTCCCGCTGCATCGCAGGTTCCGCATACTTTGATAGAGCTGCAGCCGCATTTGGTAGAAGACGGCTTTCAGAGCGCGCGACCATGCGAGTGTTTGTGTATATGCACTCAAAAGAGCACAGAGGGGTGGAGGTAGCGCCCCCTGGCGGTCATAAAAGAAAACGAGAAACAAACGTACACATTCGATGCGAGGTTGCGTGTACACTCGTATGCCACGTCCCCGCGGAGAGGCGAGCACGGAAGGCTGGCTGCTGACTGGCGTTTTCACGGTTGGTGTGCGAGCCTTCGCCGAAAACAATGGACGCTCACGGACGCAGCAGAAAACAGGGCAGGGCACTTGAAAGAGACATGGCTCGTACATACGTTTGTCGTCGGCGCCCTTTTTTTTTCTTTACTTGTTTTTCTGTCTATCTCGTTATTGTCCACTCGCCGTACCGAGTCGCTTGAACGCTGTCATCCACTACCAGAGCGGAAGACTCTCAAGCAATTAGAGCCAGCGGGCCTTAAACGAAAGCTCCAGTCTTTACTCTTTTGTACTTTATGAAGGACCTTCATGATTAGCGCAGTTTACTGTCTTAGCTTTCGGTCAAGTGCTTTCATTATTTCCGTAGCTCTTGCTACAGAAGCGCGCTGTCACCGGTCTAGGATCCCGCTTAATACGAGCTCCCGTATAATACACACCGCACGCGAAATTCGTGCGTCTTTCTCCTTACATGAAAGTGGGGGTGTGGCGAAGTTTTTGGATGGCATAGAGGCCAGACTGTTTCTCGCGCGAATTTAAGTTGTTCCAGATCAGGTGACGTGTACTTGCTGACTTGATGTTTTTTTTTTTTTTCGCCATACCCGACCATGTGGTGGGCGGGAACTTATAGCAACACTTGCGACATCGCTTGGCCAACGTGGTCCCGGAACAAGATTACGTATAGAGTGGCGGTCCTTACGCCGCGTTCCTGATGGTTTGGTGTTGATTGATTTATATATTGATTCATCGGAAATAAGTTTCTGACGCAAATCTGGCGTTGACAACATTGAATCTGATAAAGGCCGAATGCTGGAAAATCAGACAAGATATTTGCAATGTGGAATACTCAGGAAGAGATAGGCAAACCAAAATAAGTGACTTTACCACAAGGGAACGATGTTCAAGAATGCGAAATCAAGAGACCTGGTTTCATTGAACACCACAGAACTTACAATTTGCGGTGTACACGTACTCTAATGGAACAAAGAAGAGATATTAATGCATTTCGTTGTTTATGTGTTGAAGCAGGCTTGTTTTCATTTCGTTCGGGATGTGACACTTTTTCTCTTCTTCTCGCAGGGGTTGTAGCGTGGGCAGTGAGTGCCGAGACAGTCATGGCGTCCGCCCTCGAGAAGACAGAGTCGCCCATACGAATTCAGGTGAGCAACGTGAGTATACCTCTGAAAATTCTCTTTCTCTCTTTTCTTTGAGGAAAGGCGGTGTCTACTTCAATGCGGGGAAGTAGCAAAAAAAAAAAAAACTTTTTAAAAATACCAGCAGAAGTGCTTATGTGCGAGGTGGTGGTGGCAGAAAACATTTTATTAAATTCCTGGCGACCTGTCGTCCGCGCTTTCTAGCGCAACTGCGAGAGTGACTCCTGATGAGAAGGAGATGATGGGTAAAGGTAAGAGGGTGAAAGCGGTGAAACGGAAGCTTTTTGTATAGGTCCGTTAGAGCTAGTCTAGATGGTGTTGGTTCGAGCCGATAGTGGCGAAGCTATTGTGGTATATGGTGGAGCCGGTGGCGTGGAGAGGAAAAGGCGAGAAGGGAACAACTCCCTTGCGGGCTACCTTGCTCTTGGGGAGAAGAAAGGTGCAAAGCGTACACAGGAAAGAAGGAAAGTAAGACAAATAGTATAGACGCCAAGGGACTGCTCTGGCTTTACGTCCCAAAACCACTTTATGGATAAGAGAGATGGCAGTGTAGTGTAGGGGTGCGAAAACTAAGTCTACCTGGCGTTCTTTAGCGTCGACCTGAATGTACACACGTGTTAAGGCTCACCATAAGTTCAGAGAGATAGAGCGAAAATAAGAAGGCACGGAGGTTAATCACATGAGATGACAGTATCTGGAATGCAACCCTGCACTGGGCAACTAGTTCACGAGTGTTCATAAAAGTGCATAGTTTAATCTCGCGAAGTGTAACAGGTTTTTTGTGGCACCTTATACGTGCTTGCGAAAATGGGAACACCATGGTCCTGCAGGGTATCTTCATTCGAGATTGGTCCCTTAAGCATGCGGCTGAGCCTTCAAATCAGCGGGGTAGCTTTTCCATTCCCACGAGACACTATACTTCTCATTCACAGTGAAGCCAAGTGTTCTTTAAAGAGTTATTGTTGCGTTTCTCGAGGACGTCAGGTTTGATTTTTAAGTTGATCCTCCTTGATTCTAAACCGGTTTATATCGCAACCATTACGCTTTTGTCAGCTTGCATTGCCGATACCCTCGTCTGTACGCAGACGAGTACATAGACGCGCACATGTACATATTTGCACAGCGCAAGACTACGAGTAGTTACGACGTAACTACAGAACAAGAGGCAAGGACAGAGAGATCGCTGTGCACTGTTGTAGCCAAACACCGTCACCAGCTAACACAAGAGATTATGGACGCCAATGAAATGCAAATGCTGGGTGATCGATGTATCAGCATGCCTTGGCTTGCTCTGAGTAAAAAAAGAAATCGAGTTTCTAGCTTTGGCACAATAGATTGTGAACTTGTGCTGAGCTGTGGCGTTGTAATTTTATAGTGAGATGATGATTATCTTGCTGCGATGCGATAGGTTGCGCGATTGCGCTGTGATGTTCTGTCACGAGTATATATTTCCAGCGTTTTCGCTAATAAAATTTCAGCAGCGCTCTTCCCGTCCTTGTCTCTTCTTCTGTAGTTGCGTCGTAACTGCTCGTACTCTTGCGCTGTGCAAATATGTTGATTCCCAATCACCAACTAGCCCAAGCATCTGTCTTATCACGCACATGTGCGTTGGTGGGATTTTCAGTGTATTCTTACGACGAGCTTTCCCTCCTTCGCACGCCCTGAAAGTAGACGCGTCTGCGCAGGATCGGTCGTCGTACGACGACCGCCTCGACGAGCCTCCATCGTACTCGAAGCCGTCCCAGGTGATCCCTCCTCCGCCATCGCCACCTGGTGACAGCGGCGAGTCGTCGGCAGCAGCAGACTACGCGTCCAACTCGCTGCCCGTGTTGCCGGCGCAGCCCAAGCCGGGCGCGATCGTCGAAGCCACCACGGTGGGCACCGACGGCGACAAGCCCGTGTACGTGGTCCACTTTGTGCTGGGGGACAAGGACGCCAAAGGTCGAGACAAGGTCACCACCACCACCCACAGGTAAATGATGCAGCCGCTGATTATGTTTTTTTTTGAAAAAAAAAACTAATTGTTGCTGCTATCTTTGATCGCCATCTTACACAACGAGGAAAAAATATCGCAGCTTATCTATGAAGTGAATGATGACGAGTGGGCGAAGCTCCGTACTTTGCCCCGTACTTTGCCCACCCCGTACTTTGCCCACTCGATCTTGGAAAGACGTGACGACACGTGTTTAGAGTATATACAAAGTTGTTTACTAATCACAATGCGCATACGGTGTTGAGATGTCCATGTGGATGTGGGTATAGATATTCATATGGATATCCATAGCGCGTCACACTGACAGACAGAGGACATAGCTCGGTCCTAAGGAGCTTCGCCCATGAAACCCGGACACTTTAGGCTCGCCTCCAACGGTGGAACGCAATATATAGCCTAATCTAACACCGTGTGCATCGGTTTCTCAAGTGCTAGCCTCGGATAGCTTCGGTTCTGCAGGTGCATGCCTCAACCGTGTCGTAAGGAGACGAACGACTGTGCGTGTAACATTGACCATCTTGCATGAATGCATTTGGCAAGTGCAATTGTTAAGTGCGTACTTTGCCATAATTATTCATTTTGTGAATGAGCAAAGGACCCACTATGCGTCCGTAAGGCAGCACCTGAACCACGGTGCAAGAATACTTAAGGTGAGCCTACGCCGGGACAATCCGCTGACCGATAATGTTCTGCTTCGCTAGGAACCTGGAAGATAGCGCTACAGACTATGCCCCCGGCTTCCCCTCCCCCCTCTACTCGGTGTAGAAAAGCCCGGTGATTTAGGCAAGCAGCGGTGCTCAATTCTCGTCGCCACGAAACCCTCGCCGCATTGTCAACCTCCTCCCTTATCACCCTCTCTTTCGCGGCGCCGCTCTACGCATGTAGCGTGGTTGATATCGCACGACTACCAGGTTATCTCAGATTTCGAAACCGTCGCTCAGGTGCCGGATGTGCCGCGCAATTTGCCAGCAGTCCGCCCTGGTCCCCAGTCCGGCGAGCCATCTAAGCGAGAACCTATAATTGGTCCCTCCCCACCAAGCGCTCGCTTGCGCCGTGACCTGAACCTATAGCTGTTCACCATCTGCTGACTTTTTTGAAGCTTTTGCCGCCGATTATCATTAAACACGATTCACATGTTCTGACTCCTGGCGCACTTCTACGCTTCTGTCGCGCTTTATTACATGCGCTGAGGAGACTCCTATCACTACATGGCTTAGTTTTTCTTATTCGGCAGCAATTTAAGAAAAATGATGGGACTTTGCAATAGAATACCAGCCTTGCCACGCAGACGGCCTAGGTTTATTCCTAACTCGAACCTAAAAGTTTACCTGCTTCTTTTCACCATTTTTGACTTTTCGGTCGTGGACAAAGGTACACTAGAATTTCTGCGACCTGAGCTCCTTGATCGCATCGCGTTAAATGGTGAAAGTGTCTCTTCACAGACGTCCATGCAGCTTTGTCGAGCGTTAAGAAATGGAAGTGCCTGAATTCGTTCAATTTTTTTCTCCAAGAAAGAGCAGGAGTGTTCAACACACTACAGATTTCCATTTTATCGCCTAATTGTCAGTGAAAAAGCAATATAACCAGCCTTACTAAATGAATTTTGAGCCGTCGGAATCGATAACGAGAACACAACGAATAGAGCTCTCATCTCGCTCAATTTTATTATTCTTGTACTTGCGCGTGTTTGGCGCTGTGGATATGCTGTTGTTTATTACGATATAGAAGCTATTCCGCGCTGATCTCTCCTTATTTTTCGTATAACACTGAGAGATGTCTTATAACACCATTGTGTAAAATACAATACCGCGAAGAATTACTTATCAGTGCAAAAATCTTTCTTGGCTATTACTTCGCCCATTATGCTTATCGGTGGTCCGACATCTCCTTATACGTCATCAAAGAAAACAAATAATGCGTATTGATACTTCTGACTTCCGTGCGTCCGCAGCTTGCCAGCTTCGAGTGCGGCCCCCAGCACCCGCAGCACGCCGCCGAGTACCACAAAGCGGCGAACTACGGCGAGCACTACGACGACCACGACGTCGACGACGACGAGCACGACGTCGACGACGACGCGGCGACCGCGGTCGACGACCACGGTGCACGTGCCGAGTGAGCCACCTCCGGCGACGTCGACTCTGAACCCGCACTCTCCGGAGTTCGCCGACATGCTCAACCACATCCTGAACGCCTCGAGAAACGGATTCGGCCGGTCGCCCCAGTTCGTCGTGTTCGCGCCCATGCCCACAGACCACAATAAGCAGCACCTGGAACACCTGTCCAAGGTGAGTCCATTATGCACAACGAAAAAAATACTCACGATGTCGCTTATGCATTCGCCTATGGCGGCTGGAAGGCAAAAGACGTCTTATTTTAACTGCTCAGTCGATTGGATTGGTCATACAGAACCGCGCAGCTCGTTTAAGGTAAGTAGCAACTCTGACGTCAGTGTCACTGCGCTTTAGGTTGGGGCAGGGTGGGATTCATTATTTACACGTAGGAAAAACTTGAGATTAGAAATTATCTTCAAAATATTATTGTGATGGCAATTATATAGACACACCGATACTCTCGGTTGGAATTTGCCGTCGGCGTCGACAACCGCCGTCATTCACCGTATATGTATCGTATCTGGCGCCGCCACGGCGGTCTAGTGGCTAAGGTACTCGGCTGTTGACCCGCAGGTCGCGGGTTCAAATCCCGGCTGCGGCGGCTGCATTTCCGATGGAGGCGGAAATGGAGGCCCGTGTGCTCAGATTTGGGTGCACGTTAAAGAACCTTAGGTGGTCTAAATTTCCGGAGCCCTCCACTACGGCGTCTCTCATAATCATATGATGGTTTTGGGACGTTAAACCCCACATATCATGTATCGTATCTGCATATATGAAAATGCAAGGAAGGAAAATAATTCACTTTAACTCGCAGAATCGGGTGTCCGACCTCTTGTTTGTGAGTGTGTGGCGTTAGCCATTGAGCCACGAAGGAGCACCTCTTTCAACGTTGAAACATCATGCCGTTTATATCTACCACTTACCGCTGGCGATGCCCATGTCGCGGGAACTATCGTGTTTTTAGCCAACGCCTCCTAGAAAAACTATGCCTGGAACGTCGCTCTTTTAAATTGGGAGCTTTTTGGCAGCGCAAAATCTCGGAGGCCATGTCTCTTGCTGTGTGTTGCGACCGCACGCCGCGTGAGACCGCTCGCCTCCGTACCGTTCAGTCACGTGAAATTACTGTACCACTCTGTCACGTGACATCACAGCTGCTCGGAGGCAACCGTGAGAGCATTGCTGCGTTCGCAAGGGGCGGCCGCCAAAGGCGTTCGCCTCCGTACCGGAGGGGGGGGGGGGGGTAAAATCCGAGGGTACAGGGGCGCGTTCGCGGCTCACACTCCAGGCATAAATTTTTCTAGGAGGCATTGTTTAAGCATTACCATGGAGATGGCGCAATGAACGCGCGTCGCCAGATCGTCACTGCGCAGCGACGTGTGTTTAAGCACTGATCCACGAGTAATTCCCCGTTGAAGGGGGAGAGGGGTTTGACGCTTACGCGTGCGCGCTTATCTCGCGGTGGGGACAATCGTATACGCCTTGGGCTTTCACCGGAACGATTCTGTTGGCGCATTTCGATCAAGGAGAGATGCTGCAGGATCTTGTACTTGCATTTAGGTGTTCATTACCGAACGGCAGGCGATCTATATTTCCGAAGCCCTCCACTACGGCGTCTCTCGTAATGATGTGGTGGTTACGAGTCGCACAACAGTAAAATCTCGTTAATTCGGATTCCACGGGAACGGGGAAAAATGTCCGAATCAACCGATGCCCGATTATTGAAATTATTAAGCAAACTACAAAGACGTGTCTGTAACATCATTGCATTTTCGTTTTCTTGGTGAATACATCGAGCCAGTAGCCTACTTATTTTGCGTAAGACTAGCGGAAAAGCCGGAATTTTTCTGACCTGCGGCGTCGTTTATAATGTGACCACAGCAAAAGACGTCCGTGTCTTAAGTCGAATCGCGCTCAGAATCACTCAACTCTTATTACGTACCATAACCACGCGGGTGCGAATTTTTTCGCAACTCATCGTTCGTCCAGCACAATGTAGAAAGCGAGCTTTACGCGAACACGTGCTTCCAAAGTGTTTGAGTTTTGTAACATTGCGCGCGCAATGGTGCAATGGCGACGCTAAAACGAAGTGCAATCGCGTGTAAAACTGGAACCTTATAAAGGTTTAGTTTCATGGTAATTGCAGCGCAAAAAGACGGAAGACGCGAGATGAAGGATCACACAGGTTCGGCGCCTGTCCTGCAAGTCAAAACGAGGGTGTGCATCCGATGTGCATAGATGAATTTGTGATCTCGGAAGACATGATCACATAGGGTCCACACCGTTCTGAAGGTGCATGCGATGGCTACGCACAGAGCCGAAACAAAATAAGTTTGCCGCAGCCGCTGAACCTTGGTCGCCAACTGTGCGGTCGTGGTTAAGATTATGAATGGCGACGAAACCTTTCTGAAGGTTCAATAAAGTGGAATGCTGGGCCAGTTGGTAAAAAATAAGGTGGAAATATATGGGCGCACAAGGTAGAATGAAAAGCACTTGACAGGAAAGGCGCTGACAGAAATGAGCGTCTTTCCTGTCAAGTGCTTTTGCTTCTACCTTGTGCGCTCGTATATTTCCACTTTCTGAAGGCCCGTGGCTGTTTCAGAACGCTGTTTTTTTCCTATGCATTGTCCTTTTGCAGGCAGGCTCAGTAGATTTTCCGAAATAATTGTGTCGTGGGCAATAAAAATTGAGTGAACGAGCTTTTAGTGCCAATAAACAATACACAGGCTGGCCTGGAATAAAGAATACGCTGAGTTATACAACTTCCTGAATCAACGGTGGTATAATTTACGAGCTTTTATTGTATTGCTTTAACTGCAACGCGGAAGAGAAACAGTACGCGAGCTCTGCCATGCTGTATACCGCCAAACTTGTGTTCTGAAAGCCATGTATTTCAATCGACTTGTGGTTCCTTGTGACGCAGGCGACCCGCTATCACCCGGTGGGCGTACCAGTGAGCCAGGAGGTGATTTCAACACCGATTCAGCATCCTCACCTGCAGCAACACCCGCCACCGCCGGTGCCTCTGCGAGTGCCGATTCGGCCGCGGGACGAGTACCACCCTCTGGCGTCGCACCACCACCAGCACGAGGCGGCGTTGCCACCCAGGCAACAGTACCTGCTGCCGGCGCCGCAGGTGCTCAGCCGGAGGAACGGAAGCAACCCGAACCCCTTCCAGCCACCCCCTCCACCGCCGGGCTTCCAGGTAGGCCGCCGAATTCGCTCGGATCTTGCTGAACGAGTCGGTGTATATCAAAGGGATGCACGTTAGTGCGAAGTAGGCAACATATTCGACAAAGAAATAGTATAATGTGGATTGGTTGGGCACTAAACTTCACTTTGATGCATTTACAATGCTTAACCGAAATAGAGAAAAACACAAACAAACGAAAAGAAGAAAGAGGAACAGTAAGAACGCTGGCTTTAGTGTTCGTACGCGTTACAACACGCCAGCGCATGACGTGTGGACTCGGCGTGGCGCCCTCTCCCCATGGAGAGAGGGGGCGCTTGGCTACACGAAGTGGCGTGCCCTCTCCCCACAAGGAGAGGGAGTGCATAGAGAGAGGGCATATGCCACGCGCTGACGCACTGTAGCGCGCGTGTATGGCTGGGTATTTAGTGCATGGAGCTGACTGTGTGCAGCCGAAAAGCGCAAAGTCCTGATAGACTCAGCACTTAGTGCTCACATTGTCCACGTGCTTTTATAAAGAAGTGAGGTGAGGATGAGATAGCATCTGAGGAAGGGCAGAGGAGACAAGAAAGGAACCAATTTCTCATCTGTGAACCTGGAGTGGTTGGGGGCTCTTTAACACTGGCTCCGTACTGACCATCACTTGCAAGAAAGCGTAGCTGCGCTACGACCTTTTCTGCATCTTTATTTTGCTGATCATTGACGGACTGGAACGGCCTGCCCTGCCGTATCGTCGAAATCACGTTTTCCTCAACGCTTGCTAAACAGCTAAAAAACGAGGGCCATTAACCGAACATATGAGGCAACTAATTAAAAAAAAAGAAATTCAAGCCAGCCGAAGGGAAAGCTCTTCGGAACGCAGAGCACTGATTCGCATGTGTTTCCCTCATAATAACTATTTTTTTTATTTTGTGACAATCAGATTTATTGCAATTATCAGTTTTATGTATTATGGTCTCCTTTCTAATGTTTGCTGCTCCGAGTGCAGTGCATCTAATTCCCAGCGCTAGCGTGTCGCTGTCGCCTCGCTGGCTTGGGCAGACGAATTACCTCTTCAATGACGCCGGTGATCTAAACGTGCAGTCTTCTCAACTTATGTGTGAGTGAAACTTGGGACCTCCGTGATGCCAACGCGAGTTAGTCCAAAACTGTAGAGTACGCTCCTCATGTAAGCAAACTAAACGTGAAGTGAAAACCGTGTGTACCTTGTGGTGCAGTCGAATGCGGCTCCGCCTCCCCCCGAGCCAGAGCCCCTGGCGCCGGGTTTCCAGTCCGTGGGCGGCTACAGCGCATCGCAGAACCACGACATGTACGCGGCTGCTGCGGCTCAGTCCCAGTCTCCATACAACCCGCCTCCTCCACCACCACCACCACCGCAAGTGTCCCATCACCACTCGCGCTATGGTTCGCCTTCGCGATACAACGACGCCGTCGACTCCCAGAGGGGACTGCTGCACCCTGCATCAGAGTCGGCATTCCCAAACAAGGTAACCGCATCACTTGCATCACTAGGGGCCTCTCTTGTCAGCAGTGGAATGTTAAATATCGCTGGCTCCCCTGTAATTGGGAGCACCGGTAAGCTCTAAATGTCTACGAGCACGGCACACTGGTTGGAGACCTTTCTAGCCACAATTTCGTGCATGTTCACTAGGACACACTTTATACCAAAAATACGCGCCAAAAGTGGCCGGTGCGGCCATGGCGCGACAGCGGGCTGGTGGGCTGTCTACTAAAGCATATCTCTCTGCAGGAGCATATACAGGAGCAGATACGCTGCCTAAAGATAGCATATGCTGTAACTCTGGCTGCGCTTCACGCGTGAGCCTATCTTTTGAAAAAATGCTGTAATGTACGCATGAAACTGCTGCCTCTGGCAGCACTACGATTACTTGCCTACAGGTAGCATTCAAGAGAACATAACAGCGGCGCTGGGGTTTAATTGAGGAAGTGTATGGTGCCCTATCTGCATTTGGAACGTCTCTATTGTGTATGTTAAGTTAGAGTTTAAGGTGCAAGAAGTTACAGCTTCAGTGATAGTGTGGACACCGCGAACTGTGATGCAATATATTTTCTAACCTGTTGGAACCACCTATGGGACATTTAATGTGATCTTGTATGAAGGACTGACTGCCGAAGATCGCACTTCAAACTCTTGGTGTGATTTCCCAAATGCTCCCTTTGAGTCCCTCGGATGTTTTGTTTGAAGGCTCAAGGTCACTTGAGGGCCGCTGAGAACCACGTAGTAGTCGTGGGCCAGATAACCGATTGTAATTGCGTTTCAGATTTTATATCTGCAAGTCTGTCAATTGTCTGTAACGTTCTGGCATTCTGTCACGAGACAGACTGATACACACAGACCGACCGACACAAAATCTGAACGACAGACCAACAGGACAACAGAATAATGGGCAGACCGACGAAACCATCGACCGACGTTACAACAGACCGACAGCACGATAGGCTAACAAACCAACAGAACAACAGGATGATAATTCGGTAGCACAATAGACCGACAACATGACAGGCCGATAGCACTGACTGGCAGCACGATAGACCGACAGAGCGATAGACCGACAAATTGTCTGTTGTATGACGGTCTATCGGTTTTTCGGTGTGTCGGTTCATTGTTCTGTGGGTCCGTTCTGTCGGTTTGTTTGCTCGGTCTTTCCGACAGTCTGTGTTTATCAGTCCGTCATTCTGCTGCAGACGTAAAAGTTAGGGGACCCTAAGGCTCCGCCTGAGGAGTTGAACGCGACAGCGACATGCTGTTCCCAGTGCGTATTTTAAACACGTAGTGCATGAAACCTTCGCACCCACTATATGTGGTCTCAAGGGTATAGGCGCAGTAGCGTGTGTGCCTTTTGTAGTGAAGTACCGGCTTTCAACCGCAGAGTCATTATGGTAATCCATACTCTGACGCCCGCTGGCACTGGACACTTGTACCACACATTATCACTGCAATATTTCATATTGAATGGTCAAGCATGTATACAGAGTGTGTGTGTTTTTGAGCATGAAAACTACTTTTGCTGCATTTCCAAAGATGTTCTTTCAAAGAATGTTCTTTCACAAGCAGACGCGTGTGGTAGAATATCCGCTTGCCACGCAGACGACCCTGGTTCGATCTCCACTCGGACCCTAACAACCCTGGTTCGGTCTCCACTCTTCTCCAAGGTTTCTTTTATCACTTATTATTTTAATGGCATTGTTTCCGGTTTTTCGTTCACGCATAAGATGGTTTTTCGTTCACAACCACCGATACCAGTATTTCTGCAAAACTAGCTCTTCAACGCTATCGCGTTAAAATATAGACTCATAATGACGACAATGGCCATGGAGAGATTTAGGGGAGTGTCGAAAGCTATTCTCTTGGGGAATGGCTCAAGTGCTGCTTCCACAGGACGATTGTCCATCTCTCCATACTTGTAACTTGTGTTAAGGAGCTTGTCATGTCTTCTGTGATTTCAGGACCGGAGTGGATTTGAGATTCACGCGGGCGACTCTTATGCAAGCCATGGCAGCGGCAGCAGCGGCCATGGAGGCCACGGCAAAGGCATCACGTTCACCATCGGCGGTGGAGATCACGGAGGAGGCCATCACGACTACGGCGTCAGTCCCATGGGCGTCATCAAGAACCTATTCCTGCCGTTCCTGCCTAAGCCAAAGGTGAGCACGTCGCTATCGACGGGCCTGTATTTTTTGGTGCCAAATGGGTCGAATTGTCATGCAACATGACAGGAGTGTTGACGATTGAGCTTGTTGGTACACATTTCATCGTTCTAAGCAGTGCTATACGACAAGACATGAATACACATGATTAAACCAATCAGTTTTCTCTCTCGGTTTCCGGCTCGGCGTAGTTCCTATCAATATCATCATTCGGTAACACCAAATATGAAGAATGCAACGCCGGTACATTCAACGTCAGACAAACATATACTGGCATCAGTTTGTTGCCTATTCTACACGGTAAACGAGATAGTAATCTGCATTCGCGTGTGTCAAGCCGACAGACTCCCGTGAACACTAAGATGACGTTAAATTTTGCTATTAGTTTTTACAGGGAAATTTCGTGAGTGAATAATTGCTGAAATCACTGAGTTGCGGGTTGTCCGGTGCTGTGGCCCAGTGCCACAACAATGTTCTTCAGAGCGAAGGGGTGGTAGCTTGATTGTGTACTCGTACTACAAAGGCTGGGCATACAGACACAGAAAATAAGTCAACACCTGGCCTTTAGCATCATTACTTACCATCTAGCTCGACTATCTGTTACCAAATGTGATTTTACGAGTTTTTTTAGTGAAGAGGAACGCGGCGGGAGAAGTGAACGCTTTCTGCTTAGAAACTTCGGGAGATAGTCTTAGTAACACTGCGAGCGTGCTTTTCGGCATCAGCCCACCCGATATGAATTCCGAAAGTATAGAATGGGATGACTGATTGATTTCACTTCGAATGAAACCGTGACGGAGGTCGAACGAACTCGCAGGTGAACCTCAATGGGCGGGTCGTGTTCGGCGTTGTGCTCGAGAAGGGCGTGGGCCTGGGTCACAACCAGCACGGACAGCAGCACCACCATGCAGTCGCCTACCATCACTGAGTCAACGACAAACCCCTTCCACTCTCACCCGCGCCCACTGCGCGACAACTGAACACAGCGACGGCACGCGGCGAGACTGTTCCGTAGGGCAAACTTTTCTGCTTGACTCGTCAAAGGAAAAGCTTCCGACTCAACACCCGAACCAGTGTGGACTGGGCTTTCCCTAAAAGGGACCCAGTACATTGGTGAAAACCAAGAAATTCTGCCGTTGCGTGATGTTGTGCATAACTCTAAATTCCCTTATCAGACACGAGTTATGTAGCACGTCAGGGCTGCTATATTCTGGTCATGTTGTTAAATTCGCCACCTCGTCAACTGTTATGCCAACCTGTCAACTTTTAAGCCGACTAGAGAAGCTGCCACCGCCTCTGGTTGGGTTAAAATGCTGTCGTCGCGGAATTTTACGACATGGCGGAGTTTGGCATTGTCCAGAAAAGCACGCAAGGTCGACTGGAGGTTTCTACTTGATACTGTTGATAGCCCTTTCATGGGCACGATTTTTAAACCTTACTTAATTACGTCTGATGACAAAGTCGGGCAAGAACCTGCTATTGTGTAAATAATATATTAAAATATCACATACAAGCGCTGTTTCACTGCCGCTATTGCCAGAGCTCAGTGTTCCGGAGTTATATAAAGCGGCATTCTCGGTTATGACTCAAAAGGTCTGGAAAAAAATTTACTTACGTCAAGATCGCCTTAACTGTTGAACTCATATCCAATGGAGAAAGACGACCGTACGGAATTTAGGAAAACAACCTGGTGAATCTTAGCCTGTACCATATAGGAAAATATACACAGTTGTAGTATCTAATAGCAAAATTACAGATAGTCGAGAAGTGCCTTGCTCTAACGGCACGTCCAGCCCAGCACCGTTCTTCCCGTCAAAACGGGCTCGCTGTCCGCTGCCCTTTTTTTTTTCTGAAGACCGCAGTCCAGCTGTGTCTCTAGTGGGTCCGGGTGAATCACGAAGCACCAGGGTGATGTCCTGCTCTTACAATAGTGCAGGTTGAGACGCCACAACTCTCCTCTTGAACATATAGCCGAGAATTGACATCACGGGCGAGCCGCGATCACTCTTTTTTAACCCGGAAACAATCCGTCGCGACTTACGTCATCACAAGCCGCGCGTAACTCTCAAGGTGTTTGTTTGTTCATCCTCTGTTCACTCAAATAACTCACCACACGGGTGTACAGGTTCGAAAAGCCACGCCTTAACTCCTTGATAAACGCGTGCTCGCCCGAGTTGGGGAAAGTGGCAGTACTAAATGAACACTCATCAATCATGCATCCGTCATCATCACTTCATTGACAGGGTAGGATAAAGGCGTGAGATAAGCAGGAGGAGTTGGAAAAAGTATAGCTGTGAATGCTCGAAGCAAACTAAAAAAAATGCCCGTTACCACAAAGCGTGCACATTTGATTATCGTTCATTACGAGTAAAGCAGCTGCCGCAACAGAAGAATAGAACAAGTGACCGATGACCGCAAAGGCAAAACGACCACGTAGTCCAGGTGGGTAAAATAACAATGTGGACGACCGAAGGAGCAAAATGACGGCACTCTTGTTCCCGAACATGCTAATAATGAGGCCTAGCCTAAATATAGGCGGTTAAATTGTGTAAATATAACACATGATTGGAAGCGGGGTCGGTTGGCAGAAAGTGACCTATCCTGGAGCCAGCATTCCAAACAATACACACGCTCTGCACCGGTATTGGGTCAGTTGTGCTAATGTTTCTTTTCGCTGCTGCTGTACTGCCACGGGAGGCAAGATAGCTTTACTGTGTGTTTAAATCGACAGCTTCATCACATATCGTTAGACGCACGAAGCCCCAGACTTAAAAGCGGTGATCGCATTGCTGTTCAGTTATCTTGTTGCGAGCTTTCTTGTGCAATGAGTAGCCGCTGTCATTCCAATCAGTTCGCGTTAATAATTACACCGATGAAGTAAACTGGCCAACACTGGGAGAAAGGGTTCCCGATAAAATACACAAATCGCGTTTGTAACTGCACTTCAGCGAGTTTTAATGGGCCACGAGGAGTAGCTCGCAATGTATAATTGAATTCCGATACGTCACAACGTAATAACGAACAAGAAACGTGCTTTAGTATTGGCTCATTACAGATGGTAATAGCATCTGCAGCGTCATGTCATCACATGTAACATTTCATTTCCTTTCTGTTTCTGAAGGAACATAGTCGATGTAAAAATTTTCATGATGCTCTTTTAAGTGACAACAACGCAACGGTAATGCAGCAGAAGGGCGCGATTGTTGCAACGCTTTTTTCCCCTTTATTGTAAGTTGCAAAGGGTCAGTACCTACTTTGTTAGCCTGTAATGTAGCATTAGTGCTTTTCAGGTTGTGCGGCTAACGAGTCTATTTACGTTTACGTGTGCGCAGCAGTCGGCCTCCCTCGTTGTTGAGGTTTTCGGTGAACAAAAACAATCTAGTGCTTTTCTCTCGTCGTGCCCTCCATTTCCAGGTTGCATCACCGCTGCGTTGTTGGTTTTTTTTCACCGAAAACCGTACCGAGCGTAATGATGGAGGCCGCTGCTGCTGGTTCTGCGTCAGTGAGCGAGAGATTATGAGAAAAAGTGCTTTTTTTTTTTTGTCGTACACGAGATGAAATCACGTAAAGTGAAATGAAAATAAAACAAATCATGCGAGTGAAATGAGTCCTGCGGAATACCGCAAGGTGACGCTAGGGTCAAAGAGGAAATTCACAATTAACCACACGTTCGTAGTACGAAGCCAAAGGGACATTCGTACGGATTTTTTTAGAAAAACTTCTTAGCTGCCGAAAAATTCGCCGTAGTCAGGGGATCGAACCTAAGACCATGACGAATTGTTCGGTAATTAAGAATCTTAATTTTTGCGAAACCCGGCCCTTGTGGCTTCGCACTAGGAACAGACAGTGGTCGATTTCCCCATTTTCGAAAAATTATCGGAGATGTTGATAAGGAAAAACCTTACGGAATCGGGCTCCAATGTGAAATTCACGGGTAAAGAATACTTGGACATAAGAATGTAGTGCCATGTTGGCTAGAGAAGTTCGTTCTAGCTGTGAAAGATGCGGCAAAACCACTTTGGATTCATTTGACGGGTAATCGATGGCGGATATGATCCGTGGTCTACCTTTTTCAAAGTTCGCAAAAAGACAGCCCTTTCCCCGTCCACCAAATTTCAAAGCTAGCCACGTTGCGAGTTTGTGTTTAGGTTCGGTCACGTTGATGTTTGCCTGTAACGGCTTCACAACTACTGGTTGACCACCGCTGATGTACTTTCTCAACGTGCTCGTTGATGAGATTTCCCACAAAGCTAGACAGTTCTAAAGTTTTTCACAGACTGGAAGTTAGCTTTCAATTTTGTGTACTAATCTGTCGCTCGCTTGAACTTTCGCGTCATTCGGTTGAGCGTGCTCGGATAGCAACAAAACAAGGTTTGATCGCGCTGTTGGCATAAAACGACCCCATAGTCAGCTGACGAGCTTTTCACACGCGTGTTCGTCTGAGGTTTTTGGCATTTCTGGGCATGTACATGTGTATAATACAAAACATGTTTCGTTATCTCCACTTATCACTTTCTTTCTGGAGCCGCAACTCGTAGATATATATAGAGAATTATATCTTCACTTTTTTTTTGTTTTACGAAGCTATTGACATTGCGTTGATTGACCGAAAATGTCTTCGTTATATTTCTAATATTTCCTGGAAAGCTATTTTAATTACATATACAATAATCATAGAAAATAAACATCAGCGAGGCGGCATAGTGGACTGCAACCCAGATTATCAGACGCTTCCTTCAAGCCCCGGCTTGGATTATGTAGAGTTGTGCTAGGTTCTTTTTATAAATGACGACAATTTGCCTTTGATTAACAGTGCTTCCTGATAGCATAGGTGTTGTAAAGCTTGTTTCGCGTTTCTCTTTAATGTTCCCGGGACCTTTTCTCCCCCTCGAACATATCTTTGTTTAATTATTAACGAAGCTGAACCACAGTGGCTTCTGTACGAGATGTTTCCGGCATTTTGTAAACAAAAATTACTTTTTATCTGGCCACGTGTGTCGCCGGAGTGTACAGTATAGTGATGCACTGGTCGTGTTTGTGTGCAAGGTTTCTTTGTTTGCATTCCATCTTGTTCTTTTGTTTTTTTTTATTCTTTACCTGTGTTCTAAGCGGATGATGCTACTGTATATTTCACGCGTGCTCTCAATAAAAGAAAATATACTACTTAGCTGCGACCCTCTCTCTGACCTCAATTTAAGAAGGATACGTCACCGTGCCATGCCCGCCTCGACTGAAAGGTAAGTCGTATGAGTCGGCTTATTTGATTTAATTCAATATTTTATAAAACGAGTGATGCATCGCATATGGTAAAGACGAAAGTCACGAAACTGTGAGTGAGTGCTCCTATGATATGTATCAGAGATACAGCGCTACAGTGGTGAAGATAATAAGTTTTACAGCTTGTCCAGATACGCTTTCGACAAGCCTACGCAGAAATACAATAACAGATAATGCGAATAATATGAAATGTTACGAATTAAATAGGTATTCAAAGAGTGTGTGAATAAGGGAACTTAAACAACTGAAAAGTAGAAAGTCATCATAAAGAAGTTCTCTGGACAACCCCGCATCGCCTCAGCCAACGCCAGCTCTGAGCATTCCGTGAGAATTTCTATACGTGGGCATTCCGTGAGAATTGTATATTAATCGCCTTCATAAGAATAATTTGTCGTAACCACGTGGCCACATTAAGAAGAGCAAGGACATAATTATATATTTCCTCCCTTAATAGTCAGTCCGCGAACGCCCATTTTTTTATAACCAAAGTCGACATCAGTTTTCAGTATTGCAAGACACTTTCGGGATGAGTTCTTTTGTATGTCCTCCGTTTCAATGCGGACTGGCATTGGGGGAAGCTTGGGCATAGCGCTTCCACGCGCATTCCGCTGTGACGTCTGAAGTTGGATTCCTTTACCAGCCGTTCCTCGCGCAGCACGCTGCAGCAGAGTTTCCGTTGGGTGGACTTCAAAAGGCGCCATAATTCCAGCCAAAAGTAGCAAAGTAGCCACGTCATTTCATATCGCCTAATATGTAGCCAAATAGAACGGGAGTGGTATTACGAACAAAGTCTTTGGTGTTGATGAATAAGATCGTTTGGACTGTGCAAGACGAGAAATTTAAAGATAGCCAGAAAATAGCTTTGGCGCCGACTGGACAATTTTGGTCGCCAAATGGGTCGAAAAGTAGCCAATCTGGCGCGAAGTAGCCACCAGCGGAAACCCTGCGCTGCAGCATTTAGCGTTGTCGCTTTCATTGTTTATTTTTCTCGAAGCGCTTCTTAACATGTCAGATTGAAACGGACGGTAGGACACGCCTGACCACTGTCCCCAAAAGTTTACAGACCCTTCAACAGCGCTGAAACCGCCGCTGTCGTCTGCTGTGGCTTAACCTAACCTAACCTAGCCTAACCTAGCCTAACCTAACTTAACCTAACCTAATCTAACCTAAGCTGATATTGTGAAACTCAGTGAACGATTATGCTATAATATTAGCACTGTAGTGTGCTTGGGGCGAAAAATACTCTTCTGCTGTAAAAACGGCTCTTCACTTTCTCTTCTTGTCCAGACCCGGCTCAATTTTACGTCTACTGTCCGATAAACTCTTCAATCGAACGCGCTGCAGCCGCACTACAAAGTTTCATGGCATGTACGGTAAAGGAGCATGGTAGAGGAGAGAGTTGGGAGCGGACGCGCAGTAAGGGTTGTCACGCCGCACCCAGGATTGAGCTCGACCCTAAGCTGCTTCGCATCTAGAAGAGGAACATTCGGTGCGCCTCGCTGACATATTAAGTCGCTCACTGTCTACGCCGACAACGGAATGTCAGCGATACAAACTTTTTAACGCTGTCGCTTTAAGTTATCTACAATCCGAATCAACATCACTGTGTTCCGAATCACGGCAACAGAGCAGGATTGAGCTCTATAGAACTGGTATCACGTAGACTAATATAACCTTTTAAATTGCTCGAACGGCCCAAAACAGCCAAACGTATGTACATGTAATCCACATGCACTGCGACGAATTTCTGCTCGGCCAACGGGGCCCTCAGCTAAGGGCTCCACCCAATGAGGACGATTTCTTCTGCCTGCATGATTTTAAGTTTTCTCTCTCCCTCTCCTCGTCCTTACTGAAAAGTACTTGCTCCCAAATGAAATTTGCTCGAACTAAGTTGTTCGAGAATAAAAATACATTTATAAAGCAAAATAAGACGCCAAATACAACAAATACAGCCAGTCGATGTTGAACTTTTCAAGTAAGTTTTACACCGTTGGTGTGACACAAGTTTTTCAAGCAGTGGTTCTATAAAGCCACTTGCCTTCGGGACGTGGGTGACGAGTTCGAAAACCAGCACTGCCAAAAACAATCTTTTGTACTAAATATTGATTTTTTGTACATTGATTTCTTTCTACAGTGTAAGAGAGACGGAAGGACGGATGGACTGAGCAGTTATTCACCGCGATAAGCACTTCACGGTCGCGCATTTCCCTAGAACGCTTTTTTTTCCTGGAACCATAGAGATACAGAGTTTATTTTTTATTATTATTCTGCCGTCCCCGGCGTCTGGAACAACCCAACAACGGCCCCTCTTAAATTTCTCTCACTTCCTTTTTCATTCTCTTTCCGTCAGTGTTTCTCTCGTTCTCTCACCTGTAGCAACTCAATCATAGAGTTACCACAAATGCTCGACTTACAAGCGTACATCGATGGCCGAGTGTTTAAGGCGCTCGCTTCAGAATGTCGCGACATAACTTCGAATCCCAACCTGCGGTTACATTTTTTTCGCCTACAATTGCTTTTTATTCGCCTCTCCATTCGTTCTCTCAACCGTCAGCGTTGCTGGGTACCAATACCGAAAAGCTCGGTGCTAGTGTTCTGGGAGTGAAGTAAATGCGTTTAAAAAGGGCTAAAACATGCTTTTCTCCTCTACCATTCATGTTATTATTCAACCTTACCCTCAAAGCTATTACGACACACAGAAGTTGAGCCTTATCACAGGTGTTAGCCTAAATTTCGACTGCTTTATGACATCTATTGTGGCGAAGCCATCAGAGCAGGGAAACCTTTGGCTTCGGAAGGGTCCTGCAGAAGCCAAAAGTTGCCCTTGTGGATCGGCTTGGCTCCAATATATGTCGAGAAGCAGTCGCAAATATTGAGGCCCTTATCACCCTTAATGACTCCCATTTTTTGTGTGACGTCGCACGTCCTAAGATCCTTCCGAAACTATTGATTGATATGTGGGGTTTAACGTCCCGAAACCCCCATACGATTATGAGAGACGCCGTATTGGAGGACTCCGGAAATTTCGACCACCTGGGGTTCTTTAACGTGCACCCAAATCTGAGCACACGGGCCTACGGCGTTTCCGCCTCCATCGCAAATGCAGCCGCCGCAGCCGGGATTCGATCCCGCGACCTGTGGGTCAGCAGCCGAGTAGCTTAGCCACTAGACCACCAAGGAGGGGTGATTCTTCTGAAACGAAAGGTTCTCCTGATGTGCTGGCTTCACCGCAATAGATGTTAAAAAGGCGTCGAAAAAGCTGAGGCCTTATCAGCCTCGATAGGCCCGCACTTTTCTCTGACATGACACGCTGCAATGATGGCTGTCAGTGCTTGTAAGACCCATCTGAAGCCAAAGGTTCTCCTGTTGTGCTGCCTTCGTCGCAACAAATTTCGAAAAGCAGTCGGAAAAGATGAGGCGCTTATCATCCATGATTAGGCTCAACCTTTGTCACGTCACAGATTACAACGTGCGCCATCTGTGCTTATTTAAGAAGATTCCCAAGGTAAATTTATTCATGTGCGTTCGCTTCCCCGCAATCAATGGTCAAAAGCGATCGAAAAGGTGGAGGCCCTCAACACCCATGATAAGCCTCAACTTTTGTCTGACGTCACAGCTTACAATGCGCGCCGTCTGTGTTTACATACGAGGCTTCCCTAAATAAATTTCACCCTGTGCGTTTGCTTTCCCGCAATAAATGCCCAAAAGTGGTCGAAAAAGTTCAGGCCTTTATCACCCATATAATAAGCTTAAACTTTTGTCTGTCGTCAGAGCTCACAATGTGCGACATCTATAAGAAGCTTCCCAAACTAAATTTTCCCCCTGTGCGTTCACTTCCCCGCAATGAATGGCCCAGAGCAGTCGAAAAAGTTGAGGCTCTTATCACCCATGATAAGCTTCAACTTTTGTCTAACGTCAGAGCTCACAACGTGCGCCATCTGTAAGAAGCTTCCCAAACAAAATTTCCCCTGTGCGTTTGCTTCCCTGCAATGAGTGGCCAAAAGTGGTTGAAAATGTTGGGGCCCTTATCACCCATGATAAGGCTAAACTTTTGTCTGACGTCACAGCTTAAAACACACGCCATCTGCGCTTATTTAACAGGCTTCCGAAACTAAATTTTCCCCTTGTCGTTCACTTCCCCGCAATGAATGGCCAAAAGCGGTCGAAAAAGTTGAGGCCCTTATCACCCATGATAAGGCTAAACTTTTGTCTGACGTCACAGCTTACAACGTACGCCATCTGCGCTTATTAAGAGGCTTCCAAAACTACATTTTCCCCCTGCGCGTTCACTTCCCCGCAATGAATGGCCAAAAGCGGTCGAAAAAGTTTAGGTACTTATCACCGATGATAAGGCAAAACTTTTGTCTGACGTCACAGCTTACAACGTACGCCATCTGCGCTTATTTAAGAGGCTTCCAAAACTACATTTTCCTCCTAAACGGTCACTTCCCTGCAATGAGTGGCCAAAAGCGATCGAAAAAGTTTAGGCACTTATCACCGGTGATAAGGCTAAACTTTTGTCTGACGTCACAGCTTACAACGTACGCCATCTGCGCTTATTTAAGAGGCTTCCGAAACTACATTTCCCCCCTGCGCGTTCACTTCCCCGCAATGAATGGCCAAAAGCGGTCGAAAAAGTTTAGGCACTTATCACCGATGATAAGGCAAAACTTTTGTCTGACGTCACAGCTTACAACGTACGCCCTCTGCGCTTATTTAAGAGGCTTCCAAAACTACATTTTTCTCCTAAACGTTCACTTCCCTGCAATGAGTGGCCAAAAGCGATCGAAAAAGTTTAGGCACTTATCACCAGTGATAAGGCTAAACTTTTGTCTGACGTCACAGCTTACAACGTACGCCATCTGCGCTTATTTAAGAGGCTTCCGAAACTACATTTCCCCCCTGCACGTTCACTTCCCCGCAATGAATGGCCAAAAGCGGTCGAAAAAGTTTAGGCACTTATCACCGATGATAAGGCAAAACTTTTGTCTGACGTCACAGCTTACAACGTACGCCATCTGCGCTTATTTAAGAGGCTTCCAAAACTACATTTTCCTCCTAAACGTTCACTTCCCTGCAATGAGTGGCCAAAAGCGATCGAAAAAGTTTAGGCACTTATCACCGATGATAAGGCTAAACTTTTGTCTGACGTCACAGCTTACAACGTACGCCATCTGCGCTTATTTAAGAGGCTTCCGAAACTACATTTCCCCCCTGCGCGTTCACTTCCCCGCAATGAATGGCCAAAAGCGGTCGAAAAAGTTTAGGCACTTATCACCGATGATAAGGCAAAACTTTTGTCTGACGTCACAGCTTACAACATACGCCATCTGCGCTTATTTAGGAGGCTTCCGAAACTACATTTCCCCCCTGCGCGTTCACTTTCCCGCAATGAATGGCCAAAAGCGGTCGAAAAAGTTTAGGCACTTATCACCGATGATAAGGCAAAACTTTTGTCTGACGTCACAGCTTACAACGTACGCCATCTGCGCTTATTTAAGAGGCTTCCGAAACTACATTTCCCCCCTGCGCGTTCACTTCCCCGCAATGAATGGCCAAAAGCGGTCGAAAAAGTTTAGGCACTTATCACCGATGATAAGGCAAAACTTTTGTCTGACGTCAAAGCTTACAACGTACGCCATCTGCGCTTATTTAGGAGGCTTCCAAAACTACATTTTCCCCCTAAACGTTTGCTTCCCGTATGTTTTAAGCTGTGACGTCAGAAAAAAGTTTAGCCTTATCATGGGTGATAAGTGCCTAAACTTTTTCGACCACTTTTGGCCAATCATTGCGGGGAAGTGAACGCGCAGGGGGAAAATGTAGCTTCGGAAGCCTCTTAAATAAGCGCAGATGGCGTATGTTTTAAGCTGTGACGTCAGACAAAAGTCAGCCTTATCATGGGTGATAAGGGCCTCAACTTTTTTCGACGGCTTTAGGCCATTCACTGCAGGAAAGCGAACGCACAGGGGAAGTTTAGTTTGGGAAGCTTCTTGCAGATGGCGCACGTTGTGAGCTCTGACGTCAAACAAAAAGTTCAAGCTTATCAAGGGTGATAAAGGCCTCAACTTTTTCGACCGCTTTTGGCCATTCATTGCGGGAAAGCGAACGCACAGGGGTAAATTTACTTTGAGAAGCTTCTTACAGATGGCGCACGTTGTAAGCTGTGACGTCAGACAAAAGTGTAGCCTTATTATGGGTGATAAGGGCCTCAACATTTTAGACTTGTTTTAGCCATTCATTGCCGGGAAGCGATCTCACTGGATAAAATTTCGATTTGCAAGCAGAGGGCGCACGTTGTAAGCTGTGATATTAGACAAATGTTGAGCCTTATCAGGGGTGACAAGGGCCTCAACTTATTCAACCGCTTTTGGAAGCCTGTTGCCACGAAGCCAGAACACCAGGAGACTGTTTAACTTCGGAAAATTCTTACAAGCACTAGCGACCCGACATTGAAGGGTGTCCCGTCAGACAAATGTTGTTTTATCAAAAGGTATACTGGTCTGATCCTTTTCAAACGTTTTTCAGCTTTGATATTGTGCAGAACCGTGCGCAAAGTTGGAACCCTTCTCTCAGAATGTTCCTGTTGAGATCCACGAGAATCGAGCAAGCAGACGCACCACATCTGAAATCTCAAGGAATGAGGGTTCCTAGAACCAGACCCTTCACCAGAAATATTTTTCGGGATGTGGACAAACACTGAATACCTTCACTTAATATTAGAAAAAGACACCTAGTTTATTTCTGGTAAAACACCCTCTTCCTTACCATCAAAAATTTTGGAGAAGGGGTGGCTGCAAGAACACATGCGCTACTTGCGCGGCATGAGATTTAATGACCTGATAGGCAAAGGAACGAGTGCAGAAGGGGAAAGAAAGTTTTTTGCGAGAAAAAAAAAATATTTTCGAGGCGGGATTCGAACCTGCACTCGTACTACCCGAAAGCACGCGTCGTACCCACGCGGCTTTTCAGGCATGCTAGCAGGGTTAGACATACTGGAGAAAAGCAAGGGGTTGAAAAAGGGAAGAGCTTTTTAGGGGTAAAGCTGGCTAATATGGGGGATAGGGGAAAGGGTAAGCATAGATAAAAATATAGAGAGGAATAAAGAGTAAGAATAATAATACAGTGTCAAAAATATGGATAGGGAGAAAGAAATTAAGAATTAGAAAGAGAGAAAAAATATATGCAGAGAAGATAAACTGGGGAGTCATTTCCGAAAACTCCGATATGATGGTCGCAGCAGGGGAGGGCCGGTAAAATTTTACTCCAAGGCTTCTTACTATGCTCTTGAATGCTCGATTCCAAAAATGCTCGATTTTTTCGCTAGCCTCAGGGTTCTTCCAGTGACACCACGACCCCGTTAGATTTTCGCCCGTTGTCCCTTTCTTGAGCAAACGCACAGCCTGCCCATCTACGTTCATGCTCATTTTGCGTGCAGTGTTTGACAAGCGACTCAAGATGCGAATAGAAATTATTTTAATAATATGTTTTCCCTTATGCTTATTATATTTTCTGTTAAGCATCAAACAAACATGCCCGCAATATACTTACTTGATGCAAGAGTGCATGGCTTTCATAAGGAATCCAACGTGAAAAGAAAAGCTTTATTGAGCAAACTAAAGCAAATAAAGTATGGGGCTGCCCGTCAGTCAGGCAGTCGACTGGGTTACTCCACACAGCTAGGCTGTACCGTCCCATGAGTTGGTTCGGCCGCTGACCAACATAAACTCCCATTGCTCATAAAAACTGGGTCGACAGGCCAGGCTCATGTTCACCATCCCCACGGTCTGTATGTGGTGCGATCACCTGTCAGTGAGCTCCAGCAGAAAAGTCTGAAATGTTTTGCCTTATCACAGAGGACTAATCGCAAATACGAAACAACAAAACACGAAAAATCTTTAAATCATTGCGGCTTCGGCTTCCATGCAACATGGCATAAGTGTTGTGGACAGCATTCCAGTTGAGTAGCTTTGTTCATAACATACGGCCAGCTTGTGCTTGTCTAGATCAAAGGAACAGAACGCTCACATTGGGGATTGAAGAAAAAGTATGCAAGATAATAAATGAAAGCCAAATCTGTCAGCCGATTCCCTCCTGTGCTGAAACACACCAGTAACTCAACACAGAGTTTAATTTTGAGGACAACTGAAAAGCTATGCATGTAACAATGCTGCACACCAGTGTTTCTCATGGCAACCCACGCCTGAAATTTACTAAAGCACCAGCTTGTTCTGGATTCATCAGCAGCTGTTGTCTCTCATGCTACATCACCCACAATAGCTTGAAAACCGTAGTGGCTGGCAAACTTGCCTCTATCTTGGTGCTGAAAAATGCAACTGCTGCAAATTAAAATCTCGTATAGCTTTATTTTGGAGATTTACAAGGTTTACACGTGTTTGTACAATACTGATTCCTACACCTTCAAAAAAAGGTGGATATACTTCAAAACAATGACAAAAGCATAAGTTCAATATTACTGCGCATACTTAAACTTAGCATCAAACGAACATACAATTGGCATTCTGCATTGGCACTCTGGGACTCTTCAAAAGCATTTATGAACCTGTTCTATTTACAAGTACACATTCTCATTGTTGTTTTTACTAACATTCCCGACTTTTTTGGCTTTATGTACATAAACAGCAACCAGTGTCTCACTTGTGGTAAGAAATGTAACATATGTGCCAGCCCCATATTTCGTGCCTTGTGGTCGATGGCTAATACCTTATGTATTAACAATCAGCTTGTTAAAAATAATTCATAATGCCTTAGGCAGTAACAGTCACATCATGCAAGTATTAATTTTTTTTGTCATAGAAAACAAAATGGAAGGCATTGCCATTACGTCTCATCATGTGTTGCCAGGAAAGATTCCTCAAATCGTGTAAATGAGTGTTTACGACTTCAAAACAGTCAATAAGCATATCAATGGCAGTAATTGCTGTTTGAGATTGCACACTTAGTATATGAGGAACCAGAAAGAAATGAGCAGCCCAGAAACCATTGGCATTCACTTAAATATGGAGGTTACCATTTTAAATGAAGGAGTATCATAGTCTGCATGCAGAATCGCTCATTTTGCACATTTATGGGAAAAAGAAATGCAAAAGTGGTAATGAAAGCCCAATCAAGACAAAAAAACAAACAGAAAAAGTAACAAAAGTAGCAGTATTCATAAATGCTTGAAGAAAACTGAGCACAAAAACTCCTGACCTTTTTGCTAGATATAATATCATTCCGGAAATCACTGATGCAGTCAGAAACAAGGCGAGAGGAAACTGATGTTCAAATTGTTTTGTGCACCACATGTGAGAATAAATGGTAAATATGAAGAGAGTTCTTTGTTTCCAAATTTGCAGAACAATAGCCTAGACCTGACTTGAGGTGAATATTTGTAGTGCACTATGATTTTTTTTATCCTCCTTGTATTAAAAATGCAAGACAAAGACAGAATTCTTGCCTGCGGTTCCTACACTGGGCTGAGCATATTAAGAAATTTAAGTACACAAAGGTACACAGCTATGACTTAGTAGTAACAGACTCACACGTAAGTTTGAGCGGTATTTTTAGCACTGCACACAACAGAGTTCACAGTATATACCTCAACTGGTCAAGTTCATATTAAGCAAATAAAATTGTAAGATAACTTTAACATTGTCTTATAAAGGTTTATCATTAAAACACATGTACAAAGACACTATGTACAAAGTGTTTCGCTGCCATTCTTGTGCCAAATCTTTCAGTCTATTTGTTGTGGTTATTGGCCAAGACATAAAATTTGTCCTGTGCTGTGTCCTTCTCTGACTCACTAAAATTTCTTGTCCCGAGAGCGTAAAAGAGCAAGGATTTAAAATGGAGCCTTCTTCGCGAGTTCTTTTTTTTTTTTTTTTTAAGCAATGGTGCAAAGTCCCACACTTTCACTTCCTGGGTGTCCTGCGCTCTGTGGTCTGTACTTTGCGTAGAAGCCGTCCTCTTCGAACTGCTTCGGCGTAAGTGATGCCACCTGGTAGACGATACTTGACCTCCTCTGTTGGGCAGGCTGGCGCTGGTGCCACGTCACAAAGTTTGCTAATGTCCAAGTGGGTGTTCAACTTGCGTGGCGATGGCGTGCAGCTCGCTTTGGGACTCGAAGACCTGGCAGCCGCAGCAACCTTGCAACAGGAAGCCACTATCGCCGTTTCTGCAGCAGGTGACAATTCTGTCTTCTCCGAGATGGCACCGTCGGTCACCGTGCGTTTCAGTACTGCGAAGATCTCGGCAAATAACTTTTTGTACTCCGGCGGGCTGCGCGAGAAATGCTGCCCAAGAGGGTCATCGGAGCCTTGGTTTTTGATCGCCGTTATATCTAGCGCCAACTGCCTTCTCGCCTCAGCTGATGCTGCCTCAGTTTGAACAGCTTGGTCAGTGAATACTCGTTCTGTCGTCATTTCCGAGAAGCCGGAGGAGAGTGAGGCTTCACCAGATTCTGCCGACTCCGCATCACTTCCCGTTGAGAGCGATGGATAGTCAATCTTCTTGACGGCTGACACGGGACTGGAAGATTTAGTACCGGCCCAGGTAGGCTCGGCGATTGGCCCATCCAAACCCAACGACCGGCATCGTGCATCTAACAGTGCTTCGTATTTGTCAATGAGAAGACGATACTGTGCGTCCAGTTCGCTCAGCAGCGACACCTGACTTTCAGCATCTTGGCTCTGTGTGACAGGTCGTGAATCGACGACCTCAGGCAAGCTGTCTTGGTCCCCGTAAACAACCAGGCCATCCTTAAGTTGAACCATGGAAAAGTGGTCTAATTCTGAAAGCTCTTCCTCGGGCTCCTCACAGCGATCCAGCCGGTTTAGCAGTCTGCAGTTTGAGCACAGGCGCCTGCATGGAACAAGTGGTGCCGTCAGCACACTTAAACAGTTCACCTATGTTTGCACTTTGAAAGGGCAATGGCAAACGAAAATTAATGTTTCTAAAACAGAATTTATAACTTTTATGAATACTACCCGACCCCTGATAAATTCGTATCCGATTAATACAATGCGAATAGAGCACGTTTCACCAATAAAGTTTTTAGGCATCCACCTTTCCGCCCACCTGTCATGGAATGCCCACATTAATACAATAACTTCTAAAGCATCTAAAACACTTGGATTCATTAGAAGCCACTAACATCAAGCTAACCGGAAGACAAAACTTACAGCTTACACCTCACTTGTTTGGTCTAAAATAGAATTTGCTGTTGGAATATGATGTTGGAATCCAGATCAAATATACTAATTCAACAAACTTGAATCCATCCAAAATAAAGCTGCCAGATTCATAACCAGAAACTACTTAAGTCATTCGAGCATAAATAATATCAAAGCATCACTGAGCCTCCCATTATTAAAAAAAAAAGAAGATTGCTGGCGCTGCTATCCCACTTTCATAAACTTTATCATAATCATTGGCCATTTCCTACCACCTACATATTGCCTGCCCATCGCTATTTTCAGCGCCTAGATCACCTCTTCAAAGTTTTAATTCCATATGTGCGCACTGTCTTCTATACCTCTCTTCTGTTGTGCGCACTCTGTCTTCGGAATGATTTACCACCCAATGTTGTGTCTAAAAAACCCATGACACATTTGTAGAAGTGTTAAAAAGTTCCCCTAATACTGTATGAAAAATACTTTTTAAATCTGTATATCTAAACCTTGTGAATTATTTTGCACACAATAGTGTTTCAGTGTTATTTGTTCTGCTTATGCTGGAGTTATCACCTGTATATTTGTTCCAATGTAACCACCCCCTGACCCCGCTTACTGCAACCCCCTATGTAATGCCCGGCAAATGTCTCTAGGGTATGTTAATAAAGAAAAAAAAAACTTTGCATAACAACGACCAGTACCTCCTTAAAGTTGCACACCAATCAGCCACATGATTCCACTAACACTCAATGCCAGTGTAGATATATTTAATGTTAGTAAGTAAGACCATTGATCTCAACTTACAGATGAAGTAGCACGCAACGCTGCCACAATGTTAAAGTAACCTTATCAATGTTGTAGCAATATTGTGCCAACATTTGGTGCTACTAGAAAGATAACTGAACCAAGACACAGGGTTTAGTAAGGTTATCTTAGCATGGAGTAGGACCAGGCTAGGCGGTATTTCGATATAAAATTAACAGCCCAGTTCACTTTATTAAGGCTTCCACTTTGTCCATTCTACGGAGACAACCATGAGTAATGCCGTGCCTGCATGCCATGAAAAATGTTACCTTATCCTCAAGGAAAGCTAAAATCTTGTTCACTGATGGTATGTACAAAGACAAGCTGCTTTTGACTTCACAAAATCATGGCAAGGTTGTCTTTGTCTTGGCACATATTGGATGAACTTGGCGAAGTAATTGACAGTTGTTCATGAAAGAACACTAGCACATCTATCTTGAGTTCAGGCAAGGGCAAACGTGCAGCTAGTTAGTGAGAAGAGATGAAACATGGCTCCAGATGATTTCGGTTCGCTAATGCAAAAGAAAGTTAGGTGCACAGCAAACTAGCCCAACCACAAGTTTTACTAAAGCTATAGCCCGTTTGCCTTTTATGTTTAATATACTGAATGTGTTCTAATGTAGCAGTTCCATGAAAGTAAGCACAGGAATTTTTCCTTTTTTTTTTTTTTTTGCACAAGACCTTTAGGTATACATCCAACTGAAACAAACTTGCCCAGATATTTATGATTTTTTTTCAAGATCATTTTTTCTACTACAAATATTTCTACTTTAAATATTTGAATGCATTAATATATTCACTTCAATTTCTTAATTTTGATGAAATATGGGAGCTACCTGCTTACAGCAGCTGTTGATATCGTTTGAACAAACTATGCAGTTACCCACACTAAGCATCATGAGCCACATACTGCATTTTATTTTATATTATTTTGCTTCATTTATGTTCTCTTTAAGGGCCTGGAGGAACTGAATCAGAGAGGGCTAGGTCCCATGTGAATAAAGTCTGTTTCACTCAATATCTCAAACAAGTTGGTTGGGTTTGCTAAACATAGTGTTCAGGCACAAGAAGAGACATACAAAGGAAAGGACACACATGAAATGTCATAGTGCTTTATGGGCAAACGTGTCTCATCATTGGTATGTTTTCTTTCACCCGAAAACAATGCTCTGCACTGAGAACATGGCCCAATAAAGCACTCACAGAAATTACAGTTATTCAGGAACTAGGTTCATAGCCAGGAATTTTTTTAGGGGGGGAAGGCACTTGTTGAAGACCTTGAAGAATCCCTATTTTCCATATTTATTATCGGTAAAATGCTCGCTCCATCCGAATTTCAGTGAGGGGGGTGGCCGGGCCCCTAGGGCAACCCCCCCCTGGCTACGAGGCTTGTTAGTACTGTAAATGTGAATGCCTCAACCGACACAAAGAAAGCCCCATGGCTCAAGCATGTAAGTCAAAGGTACATATACAAAAAAACTAGGATCACAGAAAGAAAAGGTTGATGTCAGTGCAATTAGTTTCTGGGCTTCTAGGATTTTGTTTTCATAACACTCTTTCAGTACCAGATGCTGAATAATTTGTGATCACCTGAGTTTGTGACCCTACTTATATCTTGCTTTTGTATTTGGCTTTGCTTTTACTAGATACAGTATAACAACCACACTTTCTTTTTTTTTGTACCATTCCGGATAATAATTACCACCCTGCCAAATTACCTCGATGGGATTGTAGTTTCTATAATTAATGTAAAGGTAAATTGTGTGAGATAAAGATAAAGATGCTTCAGATAAAAATAAATAAAAATAAATTCGTGTCAACTATTTGATATGAAAACAGATGTATCTGCCTGCTTGCAAGCTGAACTTTAACACAAATATGTAAACTGCACAGTGTGCACAAAATGGTCCTGCAGATTATATAACAGGACTGGGCCTCTGACGAGCTCCACAAATAGGTTTAAGCCATTCTGCAGGCAAGTCGAGGTGGGCACAACAAAAGCAACACCTACTTGTCATCTTCAAGGATGTCCATCTCCATCTGAAGGTTAAGACACTGGTGCTCTCGTTCCTGAGAGGCCAGCACCTCCTCTTGTAGCCGCATGTTTTCCTGCAGGTTGTTGTGAATTAATACTGCTATAGCATCAAGCCTCATGCCAAGAAAGCTGCATAGCAATAAAAGATGGGACGTTACACTCAAAATGAGAGTGACGGGTAAAAGCATGTGTGCCAACCTGTGAGCGCCAAAATTAGAAGAGTTTTTCACAAATGCAGGTCAAGGAGAATTATCATGGCTGGTCAAACGGAGGACACAAGTTCTGCGGATACATAAGTACATTTTGAAGGCAAGAGCATCATTATGTCTCATCAAATCGAAAATGTGCCACATCAAATACAGTCGAATACTTACAACAATGCTCAAATGCCATGAATATTTCGTTGTTATAACCGATAATTGCTTTAAACGGGCTGCACGAAAATATGCAAAATAGGAAGACAGCAGGCTGTAGAAATAAAACTATGACATAGGATAGGATATGCCAAGAAACATCAGTGACAAGGATTACAAACATGCCGATTTTTTCGGACATATGTTCAGAAATTCAGACTTTTCACGGTACCACCACATGCCCCATAAAGCAAGTGCATGATAGGTCTGAAGTTTCAGGCGCTGGAACTCTTCCAAGTCTTAACTTTTCACTCAAATTGAATGGCGGAAAGTGCATTAGCAGACGCCACTGCCACTGCCGTGCCGCTGTAGCAAATTTCAAGCCAGCTTTGCTGCAATGCGAACAAGCTTTAGTGTGAAGCATATTGTGAATCCAAAGTTGGGGGATGTTGGGTTTGTGGTTGGGGCATAAGCACCTTGAATTTCTCCTTTCGTCTCTCTGTTCAAGGATTTCGCATTCTATTACCTTTTAACACAGATACCAGACAGCCGTAATTCATTGTTATGACCGTTAATGCAGAATTCAGGCATTGCTGCCAGTGGGTTGTTTCACCACAGAAAATATACATATGCTGATAGTGCAGCAGCTTGTCATTGTTACAACAGATGCATTGTTAAAACTGATATTGCCATAAGCAGGTTTCACTGCAGTAAGAAATATTCGATAACATGATATGAGATTCTAAGACAAATTCTGAGATTCTAAGAGCTGTTTATGTGACATATATGTCATAACATAATTGCATGAAATTCTCACTTGATTTAGGGGGCACCAATACCGAAGGATGTGCAACACCATTCGAGGTGCAGAAAGTTTCAGGAAAGGGGGGGAAGCGAATCAGTACAACGGAATGGGAAGAAGAAAAAAAATGCATTCCTCTTAGTGGTGTCTCCGGCAAACTGAAGGAACCTTGTGAGGTTTTCAAAAATGATTTGCCCTCAGATGCAGCTAATGGGAAGTGCAGAAACTTTCCACAGCTAATATAGACAAGCCACGCAAGTGTCTCTGACAATAGTACAATTGTGTTTTCTATTATTATATGCTCATTTTGTCTGCTACAGGAACCTATAGTATAAAATTGCCCAAACCAGGTATGTTTCCTGCATACCTACTTTAACCACAAAGATTAATTTAACTGAAAGCTCTAGAGACCAATACAACAACATTTTTCTGCTGGATAACAAAAAAAAAATGTATCCCTTGATGATCTTGACATATTTCTGTAAAATTGAAAGTGAGTTCAAAACAACAGACTTTTATAGTTTGTGAGAGTTGGCAGGTATGCGAAATTGCTTTGACAAAGAAAGAAAGCTCCCTTCCCCAAACCTGTAAACTCTCAACCCTTCTAGGACCTCTCTAGCAGTCAAGGTATTTAAATGGCCATACTAATTGCAGCATTTAAATTCCAAAGCTGCGGCATTCTTATAGAACGTGGTCATAACTTTTGGCAAGGTATAGTTTGTAAAGTAATTAGATGGATTCAAAAGGTTTCAGAAATGTAATTTGTAATGCAATGCGATGGCACTTTAGGAATAATTTTGTCTTCTTTGGAAAGTTAGGATCACTAGTTACTTGCTGCCATAGGCGTGCACACCAGGGGGCGTTGAAGAGGCTGCCTACACCCTTAATAGCGCGTTGTCTACCCGCCCTACCTTTACTCTATGTGACCTGTCTCATCATCATTTGAAGAGCAGGGTTTCTGACGATTATCAAGGCCAAAGGCCGCAGATGTTGCATTCCAAGATCTGTCCTACTTCCCATCCTTACGCTCACGCACTCAGGGACCAACCAAGCTGCTATAAAAACATGCCATTACTTCATTTTCATTTATTCATCCCTTATGAAACACGCTGTCCATGGAACTCGACCAATGGTGGTAGGGGAGGGAAGAGGTTGGTAATGAAACTCTGCTGCCCTCCCCAGACAGGAAGCCCTTCAAAAATGCGCACGCCTATATTTGCGGTAAACTGAAACGCCCATGAAAGAAAATTAGGCTGCGCAGCCACATGGAGCGCAGAACACACCTGGACGAGGTTGTCCACCTCCGTTTGGAGTTCTTCGCGAGTTTCCTGCTCCTTGGACAGCTGGCACTTGAGCCGCGACAGAGAGCAGCGAAGGCGCACCAGCTCTGTACCAAAGGGGCTCTCCTGCAAACAAAGCGAGTCTCCTATTGCAGCTACTTGTATCAGCAACATAATTTCAAACACAACAAGTTCCAAGACTCCTCTCAAGGATTGTTACATTGGCAGGTGCAGTTGCACAGTTTCATTCATACCTCAAAACACGTGCTTGAGACTTATCTATGCTTCGGAACCAGCCATAGAGCAAATACATGTAGCTCTGCTATGCGATTACATTTAGCAGGTATTCTGGTGAGTAGTTCCCGTTTCATGTTGACGACACATTTCAAATGCCATAGATACATACATGGATGAAGTGCTAGCTACTACATCACCTGGACACCGGTAAAAATAAACAATTGCTTCTCAGGATTTGTCGCAAATACCAAACCATTTAGCTGGGCCGTAAGGTGCTAAACAAAGGGGCTTGCCAAATTGAGGCACAATGGTAGTCTAAGCAAAGTGCGTGAATGAACTAGTTGGTATTCCGCAGCTATAAAAGCTGGGCAAGAGAGGCGCAAAGACAAGAGACCGACGAGAAGTGTTGTTGGTCCCTTGTTGTTGTGCCTCTTCCGTGCTGTTCATGCAGCTAGTTGCCCAAGAGTAGCCGAGTGCAATCCATAACAACAGCCAATGCTGATGCACAACATACTTACCACACACAGCCTAGTGCTCCGTGTGGCATGTAGTGTGGCCAGCAGTGTGACACCAATTTCGGAAACTCGAGATGTTCGTCTTGCTTAAAGGGAGACACTGCTCTTTAGAAAAGTTTGTTTCTTTATTGATTTTGATGAAACATGGTGAGCTTATGTATATGTGTGTGCTGATTTTAAACATGGAGTTATTTTTCTTGTATAAGGTATAATTTTGAAAGTATAAGATATTTGCTGTGCCTTTCGGGGAGCAAGACTTTTCTGAAACTAAGAGAGCTACAAAGTAATTTGACATATCACAATAATCTGGAATCAGGACTGTGTAACAATGAAAATGGATGTTCTAAATCAATCTTAACAAAAGTTATGGCACATTGAACATTTGTGAGCGAGTCAATTTCAAGCTGGAATTTTGCTGGCAAGTGTTCAACATTCCATAACTTTTCTTCTACTTGGTTTAGAACATTCATTTTTGTTGCACTGCAATCAGCTTTGATTCCAGTTGTTTTGATAAGCTTATTGCTTGCTCTCCGAAAGGCACATGAAATATTTAGTATTTTAAAAACTACATTTAGCATAAAAAATAATTGAACATTTGAATTTATCACACATATACACATACACTTGCCAAGTTTCATCAAAATTGATCTAGAAATAAAAAGATTTTTTTTAAGTGCCATGTCCCCCCTTAAGATCCCTGTGTGCGGGGGCACTCCTGACCAATTCTTATTGACAAGTGTTGCCTATATTATGTATTAATTTGGTTTTAAAAAAGGTCGCATGCTGGTTCGAGTATTCAGGTGCAATTGACATTTTCTGTGGTTTTACGTAGACAGGGGATCCCTGCGAGATGTTGCCGAGGTCAAGCGAGTACTTTGGATGTCAGAGAACATTTGTGGGGCATGCACAATGCCCCATTTGGCTCCCAGCAAGGACTATTGTTCATCACCTCGCTCTGTTATCGGGTTACTCCCAAGGTGGGTTTGGGTGCATATGCCAGAAATGCTTCTCTTTTTTTTCTGAAGAGCACACACTTGAAGCACCTTCATTGCTTCATTCTTCACCGCCAACAGGTCCCCCGATTTCAAAACGGCGCATTCAGCGAGACCGAAGCTTGAGCATACATAATTTGATGTGCTACCTCGATGTGGGGCGCTAGTTTCTTATGGTATTTAAGCAGGCATTTTGAACTGATGAAAAATCGTTCTGAATTAACGATGCTAGCATTGATTATGCATTAAAGTACTTGCAATTCAATTTCAGCATTCCCAGACGCAAAGATACAAATTACAGTAAAGGAGTCGTAAACAAAACTCGCTGTCTGGGGTCCTTTAAGCAAGCACCAGCGATCTAGCTGGATTTTGTGGTTACGCATGCACCATGAATATCCAATGTGTTCTACCACTACATGTATTTTCTTTTGGCTTCGTTTCCTTGTGCAACATGCACTTGGTGCAGTAAAAGCTCGTTAGCTTGATTTTTGTTAGTTAGAACTGATGCTCTGGTCCCAATACCGCCTGGTCTGTTTCTAAGGGGAAGAACTCCCGCTACTTCAAAGGTGTCAGTATCCAACAAGTAATTCGAACTGCGAAGCCCCCTGGCTCTCGCTCCTCGCAGAAGTTTGCCCAGAGTGATCACAGTGTGTTGCACAACAACCAAACCAAACCAAATTTACTAGAGATGCAGAACAACGAAACAGCAGCATGTCTCAGCAGATGAGGATTCAGACGCTGCGCTTGAGCCCTTGGGCAGGGTACAAATGATACTCATGCAGTTGCAACAAATGAAGTGCAATCGAATTCAAATACATGCTTACATTCCATTTTGATTGCTTTAACTATGTCAAGTAAATGAACATGTGTTGGGGCATAAAGGTTGCAATAGATTGCTGACTTGAATGCATGTCCCTGCTTGTTTCTGGCGTGTCTGTCACTGACTGACATATGTCGGCAAGCTCCCTCACGAGTTGACTCAGACTCAGATCAAGGCGCAAGTCTGAGCAAGTCCGAGTGAGTAGCCTAATATTTTGGCGAGTTAGCCTTCAAGTGAGTTCGGTTGAAAAAAAAAAAAAAAAAAAACTGTAGTGGGCCTGGGCCCGAGCGATTCTGCAGAAGGAAAATTTTGGTGAATGCGAGTCTGAGTGAGTCCCACATTTCTTACCGACCTATGCCGACTGGCGAATTGATCCTGTTCGCTGTTAAAGCTCCATGAACCTAATTTATGATATCAACTTCTACAAACATGTAGGATTACTTAATTCATAATAACGAGTCCAGGGGTGATTTCTTTGGATTCTGCCGGCCATGCAGTGTGGTGCGATGTCCATTCACTCTAGCACCTGTCTGGTAATTTGAACAGTGTTTAATTAGCAAAACTTAGCTCCTTAGAGTTTAAATTAACAAACTATTACTGTATATATAGAGACTACACATTGAACAAATGACAACAATGTTCCCCGCGACTAATGTTTCATTTTTGTGAGCCTGACTTTGCTCACTAAAGAGCTCATTCTTCAATCATCTGGTTTCTACATTCTTCAGAATGACAAAAATGTAACAATACTTGGCAAAAAGAGCACTGTACCTCAAAGCCAAGAAAATCAGTGTCTCCGTTGGGGCTCCCGGAAGGCACAACACGATCCACACCAAACGAGTCCTCTAGTGGCTCGTTCTGGTGACCGGCTGTAACAGGCTCAGCGGTGTCGTCTTGCTGGTCCCTGGGTCTCAGACTGAGCCGCAGGTGGTCGGCAAGCTCTTGAAGCTCTTCACACTTCTTCTCGAGCACATCCACACTTGTGCTCAGGCTGCAAGGCAAAGGAAGGCACAGGTTACAAAGCAAGTGAAGCCAGACATTTGTTCAGAATGCTAGTTCTGGATCGGAAGTCACCAAATGGTGGGTGGCTCTACAGGAGCAGCTCACTGTCTCTTTTTTTTTTGCAGTACGCTGTAAAATTGATAAGGAGGAGCACTAGACGATGGGACGAGGAAAGAGAACCCATTGTGCCTGTATGTGTAATCCTTGCTCCTGGCAGTGTTTCATGCTCCCTTTAATAAGTTTACAGAAGTACAAACAAGCTAAATTACAAATCCTTATTCTGGAAAAAAAAATTGGGAAAGGTTGCCAAGGTGCTCTTGGAGGACTGACACTTGGGTGGGTAGGTACGGATGCATTATTATAAAAATGGTGCAAAAGAAAAAGGCTTTAAACTAATGGAGACACTTTATTAGGGAAACAATGCTTCTTGTATTTGTGCAGTCAGTTATGTGTTGTAGCAGACAAGTTGGTTCTGTAACAAATGGTCATCTCATGCTTAAACAGCACAGATGCACTGTGCTAACTCACAATTTGGTTTTATGACAGCGTTTGCAGAGGCGTCTGTAATGTGGAGGCGATGCCCTCCTGGTTCCATGCTGTAGGTGCCCCAATTCAGCTCATTTTAGACAGGTCATTATATCGCAGGAATCGGCTATGCGTAAATACACTTCCAAATGTTGACCAAAGCAATGATAGCCGTATTTTCCATGCCTCCATCAATGTGCACAGTTAGTTCTGCAGCCAACCCTGGTCACCTAGGCAAATGGGAAACCCATGCCTTTGGCTTTCGTACAATCAACATTAGCATGCAATGAGCACAAACCTGTAATCGCAACATCTCTGCGTCTTCTTCCTAATCTATATTGTCTCCGTCTTGGTTCATTACTTCCGAGCTGAAAGTATTGCTTGCAGTGGAGTGATCCACGATGTTACCAAATGAAACATGCAAACTAAACAAAATTATGCTTATTCATCGAAACAAAAAAACTTCACATTTAAATGAGTTTCAATTTTGCACAAGCAACTTACCATATACTAGCCTTTTTTTATTTTTATAACTGTCTGCTAAGTCTGTTTACATATTATTGGACACATCCCTTTTTGAGCGGTAGTGCTGCCATGTGTGCAGCTTCACGGCAGCACGCACCAAAATGCGGTGAAGCCACCTTGCAGAACAGTCCGGCTGCGGCAGTGATGGCGAACGTAGAAAATACATCCAAGTAAAGCTGCTATGGTGGCCAGTTGGTACGACTTCATGACTGTTCATAATATTCCATGACTGTTCATGAGTGTAGGCACATCACCCTCTATTCAACTGTCCTTTCGTGAAGCTCCTGGCAGAGCGAAGTCACGAAGTCACACATAAAAGTTTCCAGAGTTTATGAAGTGCATTCCATACTTCATACATGCAGATACTTCAGCAGCGCTTTCCAAAGGAAGTAACGTCACGGAGTGTTACCAGATTAGCCATGCACAAGTAAAAGACAAACGCGAAGCTGCTGCATTTCTAAAACAGTTTTTACACCAGTTCTTATTCACAGCGTCCCTTTAAAGGGATGCTAAAGTGATACAACGAATCAGTTTAGGTTAATGAATTGTACTCTTTAGTGCCGCTGATTTTACCATCACATATAGAGAGGAGAAAATCAAGGTCAAAATACGCTTTTCAAACTTCACTTCAAAATCTCCGCGCATGACGTCAAAGATTTTGAAGTGTATTTTTCATGTATTGGGGACATCGGCTCAACAAAATGTCTCGAAACTTTCTATGTTAGGTCTACGCCCCCCTTCAAAGACAATAAACTTAAAGGGGCCCTGAAACACTTTTTCAAGTAGCCATGGAATGGACTCACTGATAGAGCGTATTGCCTAATGAAGTAAATGTCGCAAATTTTTTTTTAAATCCGTCCAGTACGAGCGGTGATACAAAGATTTGTGGAAACTACAATCGCATTCTCTCTTTTCACGTCCCAACGAAAGCACTGGAAGCTAGGCAAAGAGGGGGATGACATGGGCAAAGAAAATACGTCACGTGCGCCTCGTCACCTTCAGCACTTTTTTATTTCTTTCTTTTTCTTCGAATACGTGGCCGTCTCAGTGCGATCACGCGCGCACACGTAGACAAGTCGCGGGCTCTCGCGGCGATCTCTTTAACAATCGGGTGTGCCATCTTCAAATCAGCCAATGGCTAATACGAGCCTTGCTACGAGTGATTTTTGAGCTTCTTCCGTCATTTGTCCAGAGCACAAATCAACTATAACTCACTTTGATAGTTTATTGTGAATTCCAGGCAGCGTGCTGCGCAGTAATATCTGGCTCGCGTGTTGTCGGGAGCTTCTACTACCGATCAGCTGTGTGCTCTGGTCATGCTCAAAAGTGTTACAGGTGCCCTTTAACTTTTAGTGATTATGGATGACATAAGATATAGTAAGCCGTAAAATATCCGGCCTCACGCGTTTCGCGCGGGAACTTCAATGTGTTGTCACCATTCGAGTTTTTATTTTTGTGTGTGTGTTATTTTCCGCTTACCAAGCATGCTCCCTGCGGAAAACGCGGTTGATTTTGGAAATGGAAATAAGATACTTACTAACGTGAGAAAAATAGTTTTTCTCTTTAGTGTTCCCTTAAAGATGGCGGAAAAATCAGGTAGCGGAAAGGTGCTTTGTCCAGAAGGGCCGTTTTATTCGCACAAAAGGTCCACAATACAACTGCGACCATATTCGTATCCATAACCGAGATGAACAGCTGAGAAACCTATACGAAACGTAAGTACAACCCGAATTAACGCGAGCATATTGAGGGGTCTTTCGAGGCATGGCATGATCCCTCATATATATTAAAAAAAAAAGGGGAGCTGGGGGAGAAGTTTACACTGGCCATGCAAAGCTGAAGAAACAACGAAGCTGCTCGATCTGAAGGGTTAACGTGTCCATGTTGGCTGATGCCAGGCCTTTCCTTAGCGTGAGCTAGCACGCGAGTAGAGTCGAGTTTACGCCTGTCACGGGCCGAGCAAGAATGTCCAAACTCCCGCGACAGACGTGCGAACCTGGCTGTGGCCCCTTCGGGTAGATGCGAGGACCTTTCGTCGCTCGCGCCACGACGGGCAAAGTCCGCGCGACGGGCAAAGTCCGCGCGGACTGTCTCCACCTGTGCGCGTGGCTTTGCGGTGGCTGCGCCCCGGCGCATGCGCGGCCAGGCGACGTTAGGCCTAGATGGTGCGAAGCTGTTGCTTGGTCATTGATATGTCTGATGTTGGATATGATATGGCTTTCTTTCTTTCTTTCTTTTTTTTGCAAACACCTAACGTTCTACCTCAAGGTTCTACCTAAGGTTCTACCAACGTTCTACCTAAGGTTCAAGAGCTTCTATCTTGAACCCCAACGTAATTATGAGGCGCGCTGTAACGAGAGACTCCAAATCCATTTCGACGACCAGGGGTTCTTCATCGTGTCCAAGCACACACACGCGGGGGCGTTTCTCGTCACTACCTAAATGCGGCCGCGCCACGGCAGGGAATCGAACCCGCGCCATCGGTAGCGGGCACACACACCTCCGTATGCGCTTCTTGTCGGCCCGCGACTCCTGCTGCAGCCGCTGGTTGCTCTTCTCCAGTTCGGCCACATTTTGCTCCAGCTGCTCGTAGATCTTGAGCCGAGACTCGTTCACCTCCCGCAGGCTGGCCGCCTGTCGACTCAGGTGCTGCGCGAGAATGAAAAAAACATTACTCGCAGGCACAGCTTCTCACAAGAATCTGCACACGACAGCCCGAACCACAAAAAAAGTCTGAAAGGCTATGTGACACAAGATGTACAATCACAAAAATAAACTTTTGATACCGCCAAAATTTCTTTATCGATTGCTATCAGGATTATTATCTGGATTGTTATCAGCATTAATGGGTCCCTATCGATTGTTACCAGGAAAAAATAATACATTTATGGCAGTTGTCAATCCATGCATTGCAAGAACATCAATCAAATTAAGCTAGCTGAAATAAGTAAAAAAAATATCGCATTAAGAAAGTGTCACATTTAAAGCCATATTTAACAATATTTTATACTAAAACACGTTTTAGGCGGAAAATAATGAACGAGACTGTGTGCAAGCGTGAGCACTGCTAAAAACTATCTAAACGGGGATGCTTAATTTTTGTTTTTACAAATATATGCAACGTTATAGACTGGTTCGGTTACATTCATAACGATAACAGTCATGGCCACCCACTACAGTGTGTAGCGAAAGTGACAGTTCACGCACAGCCGTCGTCTAAGCTGTCTTCTTACGCTGCATGGAGTGCACCAGGTGGCGTGTGCCAGTAAAACTGCCCGAAAATGAGAAACTGGTTGGCAGTTGATAGTGTCGTTTGAGAAAAAAAGTATTTTTTTTTTTACAAAGGACAAAACGAATACGACACACAAGCACTGGTGTGTCGCGTTTCATCTTGTCATTTGTGGAAAATCATGAGGAACTGATGCTCGGAAAAAAAAATAATAAAATGGGAAGGGAATATCAGGCCCTCGGTCATCCCTGAATCAATATTTATTCCAGAATACCAAGCGCAATACGATCCACCAGAACAGTTCCCTCACCCCTCTACCAAGAAAAAAAAAAAGAGCTGTTAACGCCGCTGCCCGCAGGCTACGTGCGGGCAGCAGCCATAGACGCAATAATCGCAAAGCAGGCGTAGCGAAGAAACCGGAACGAAATTGCACGATAATTATGAAATCATCCGAACCTTCCCAAACACACTACATCGCAAGAACATGAGCGAATGTTAAAATGCCTACAAGCACCGCTTGTACGACTTGCCCGAGTGCATGCGGTTAAGTTTCTACGCCGCGCGATATAGCCTACAGGCAGCAAGAAAGTTGTTTGGTCACATCGACAGCCAATGCAGCGACGCTCACCCACGCACTTACAGGGCCCTGAAGTGTTGATGGACATTGACGTAGCCAGGGGAAGGTGGGTTAAACAACCTCTCCCCCTTTTTTTCATTATTCGAATGTGCATAATACACACACGCACATAAAAATGCACAGAAGAACATACATTTAGTACGGTAAGAGCGCTTGGTTCCAAACGGAAAATTAAAAATTCTGCACAACTGACGCTAATGAATTAGCTAATTAAGAATAATTGAAACGCGATAACGAGCGCCACATGGCAGCAAACCACATGTCGTTTATTTCAATCAGTTGCGGTCAACATTTTGTTTATACTTCGTTCTTGTTACATGAAGCACTTTTCGGATCGATACCACTAGACGTCACATGGTCTTTTTTTCGCTTCACTTCTCTCATGCCGGTTTTGGTGGTGATGGTCTAGATGATGATGATGATGCTCATCATCATCATCATAATTCCCATCATCCGACTCTGGACTCAAGGTGCAGTTACTCGCCCAGATACAGATCAATGAATCATCATCGGTCTACAGTCACGGTACAAATTATCCATTCAGATGGATGATTATAATCCTCATCGCTCTAGATAAAAGTAGACATTACCCGCCCAGACACAGATCTATAGTTTATCATCATCATCATCAGTCTACACTTAAGGAAAACATTACCGGCCCAGATGATCATCACTATCAGCCTGGACTCTGGGTGCAGCTGGATTACCCACTCACAGACAGTGTTTATCATCACCATCATCGTCGTCGTCGACAATCTAGACCTAGAGTACAGTTCACCCGCCCGGATACGGATGGATCATTATTTATACTGAAGGTACAGGTTACCCACCCAGACACAGATGGAGCAAAAGGAGGCACAGCTGCTGAGCACGGGGTCTCCCCTGAGCATGGCGTCGAGGCACCGCTGGAGAAGCGAATCCGACGACCACATCGCGACACCCGGCCTACAGCCGCGCGCGAGAAAAAAAAAAGTCTCACTCTTGCACCCCTGCAGCGGGCGCGAGTCTACTACGTGGCCCTAGGGCGCGGACGCCGGCGGCACACAGGACGCCGCCGTTTCTGTGCTCCAGCGAAATGACTCATCTGCATAGGCCAGGCCCGTTTTTCCCTCCGTTTTGCCGCCGCCGCTCTTTTGTCCCGAGATGAAAAACGGCTGCGCCAAGCTGCAGCAGCAGCTTGTCTCGCTCGAAACACTTGCGTCGTCAAAAGAGACGGGCTCCGCTCACGCACGTCGTACAAACGTTGAGCGCCCGAGAAAGATTGCGGACAAAAACTTCTCGTCGTCCACAGCTGCCGCTGTCAGAGGCTGCGATTCTTCCGAAGAAGGCGCGGCGCGCATGAATAGCCGAGACGCCGCAACGAGTGCGCCTGTTTTGATGTCAATTAGAGGGTATGAATACCTTCCGTGAGCGGCCGCGAAGCAGATTATTAATAGTCGCCATTGTTAAGTGTGGAGCGGTTCGAAAGATCGCCCCGTCGTCTCGAGTCCCACGTTCGATACACCATAAGCCGAGCGGGCCGCACGTTTGGAACGTCACCGCTGCGGAAGGGCAAATTCGTCTGTCCGAGCCAGCGACCCGGTGTAGCGATCAAGCTATGCCTTGACCCAGCGGGTCATTCGCCACGCCGGATTAGTGCCAAAAAGTTCAACCACCACGCTCGTGGTTTGTGAAACCACTAGTTCTTCTCTTCTCTTCTGTCATCTCGACAACTCACTGTAAAGATGTAAATAAATCCGTTAAGTTCGCTCAAAGCTCTCCCCTAGTCCTTGGCACGACGAAGCGACGGCGATCGGCCCCGCTACCCGCAGACTGCGGTCGCCGCGACGCGCAACAACTGGTTGGCAGCAGTGGGATGCCATCAGCGACCTTCCTTCCCATCCGTAACACCAGCCGCATCTCAAACTTCGGCTGGCAACTTGGGCGGAGGACGTCGCGGCTAGACACGGCCTGGACGCCACGACCGGCAGCCCGCCCGCAACGCTGCTTTTTTAATTCTTAAATTTTGTTTCACCTTTTGGTATTTACACAAAGTTTTTCGCCACCACCACCACTAGGGTAAAGCGAAACGCCAGCGTCGAGAGTTGGGCGCAGTTCGACGGAAGCGAGAACTGGCGGTGGAGAAACGCGCAAGCACCAGGAAATTTGGCGCACCGCGTTGGGAGTAGAAAAACAGGAGAGAAGCAGAACACAGGAGACCATAGAACCGAAAAGAGGAAATAGCAAAACAAATCACACGACCCCAAGAACAGACAGCAAGATGAGATGAGACAACAAGATCACGTATTATCACGCGAAAAAAAATAATAATCAGCAGATAAACGAAAGAAAATGGCACAAAAGAAAAGAAATGAGATAGATAAGCACTAACTTAACACAAGGTAATCCATGACATAGTTTGTAAAGCTTTTATTTAAGGGTATAAAATGTCTTTATTTTCCCCGCGAATTCGCAATTGAACGAATCTAGCAAAATCAATCGGGAGTCAGGAGGACCGTACCCAGGATTCTTTTTCGGGGCGATGGGGGGGGGGGGGGCATTCATGTGTGGAACGGCTATAGCTTTTGGAACCGGTGGTCGATGTGAAGGCCTGCAAATACTTTAGCATCACCCGAAAAGATAGAGCATGAAAAGACTACGGGAGAGGGGTCAAAACCCCCTCAGCTCCTCCCCACCCCTCCTAGTTATGGCACTGGGAGGCAGCACACAGGACGCCGCCGTTTCTGTGCTCCAGAGAAATGACTCATCTGCATAGGCCAGGCCCGTTTTTCCCTCCGTTTTGCCGCCGCCGCTCTTTTGTCCCGAGATGAAAAACGGCTGCGCCAAGCTGCAGCAGCAGCTTGTCTCGCGCGAAACACTTGCGTCGTCAAAAGAGACGGGCTCCGCTCACGCACGTCCTACAAACGTTGAGCGCCCGAGAGATTGCGGACAAAACTCGTCCACAGCTGCCGCTGTCAGAGGCTGCGATTCTTCCGAAGAAGGCGCGGCGCGCATGAATAGCCGAGACGCCGCAACGAGTGCGTCTGTTTTGATGTCAATCAGAGGGTATGAATACCTTCCGTGAGCGGCCGCGAAGCAGATTATTAATAGTCGCCATTGTTAACTGCGGAGCGGTTCGAAAGATCGCCCCGTCGTCTCGAGTCCCGCGTTCGATACACATAAGCCGAGCGGGCCGCACGTTTGGAACGTCACCGCTGCGGAAGGGTTAAATTCGTCTGTCCGAGCAAGCGACCCGGCCGCATCTCAAACTTCGGCTGGCAACTTGGGCGGAGGACGTCGCGGCTAGACACGGCCCGGACGCCACGACCGGCAGTTCGCCCGCAACGCTGCTTTTTAATTCTTAAATTCTTGTTTCACCTTTTGGTATTTACACAAAGTTTTGCACCACCACCACCAGGGTAAAGCGAAACGCCAGCGTCGAGAGTTGGACGCAGTTCGACGGAAGCGAGAAGCGGTGGAGAAACGCGCAAGAGCCAGGAGTTTGACGCACCGCGTTGGGAGTAGAAAAACAGGAGAGAAGCAGAACACAGGAGACCATAGAACCGAAAAGAGGAAATAGGAAAACAAATCACACGACCCAAGATGAGATGAGGCAACAAGATCACGTATTATCACGCGAAAAAAAATAATAATCAGCAGATAAACGAAAGAAAATGGCACAAAAGAAATGAGATAGATAAGCACTAACTGAACACAAGGTAATCCATGACACATTTTGCAAAGCTTTTATTTAAGGGTATAACTGGTTTTGTTTTTCCCCGACAATTTGCAATTGAACGAATC